TTCTTCCATTGTGTGCACAGTGCATTTTTGCTGACTGCAAGCTCTCACACGGCAGGAAAAAGCCCAAATGCCATTCTTGCTCTTGCTATTGGCAGCTGTTCTCTTATCACCAAAGAGAATTTATCGCACCACTGACAGATGCTGAGATTCAGAAGCTGGAACTGAAAGCCAAAGGGATTGAATCAGAAAACAGAAATGCCAAAAAAAAAAAAAAAAAGAAAAAAAAAAGAAAAAAAAAAAAAAGGAAGAGCCCTACCAAAGCAAGTCACTTCACTGCACACATTGCACATGCATCTCTCCACGGGGAAAGGAAAAGAGAGCCCGAGCCCCCACGACAGATGTCAGGCGTTCTGTTTCGGGCAGCGCTGGAAGCTGCTCCAGTTCTGTGCTGTGGAGAGTGGTATAGGAGACCACAGAGAACTTTACTGTTCAAACCCTGCAGATGAAATGCAAAGGAGAAAGATGCAACTCCACAGAGGAAGGCCTGGAAAGCAAGCTATCTCAGCAGGGAGATCACTGTAGTTATCATGCGTACAAAGGTACTTGCATTCCTAATGCTCTCTCCTGAAGGCAGTGTGTGGATTAGGGTTATCTGAGTATTTATTTTTTTCCCCCACTCTTTTAAAGACTTCACAAAGCTGTAAACCTTATTTTCCCATGTGTAGCTACACCACATACCAACAGGAAATAGTTAATTTGACGGATACTTTGGCTACTCCCAAGAAAAGATATGGGAGGATATATCTGGTTTAGATAACAAGAGGCTTTAAATAACTTTATCTCCCAGTGTAGCAGTCAGTAAATGCATTCTGCCCATAGCCATTTGCAAGCCTTCTTTGCACATACATTCAGAACTAAAAGTGCTTTATGCACATGGATAAATGCATGACGGCTATGATCATAAACCAGTGCCTATATTTTATTCACAGGCTTTGCACTGAAATGCACGCTCATACACAGACTTTGGGACGAGACGTACCTCCTGCCACCCCCAGCGAAAACATGAATGTATTTATACACAGGCAGATAAGAAGGCGGCTATGCACTGACACAGCGGTGACAAAGTCTCCAGGCTGCGAGTGTTATGCAAAGGAAGATACTCGATGCCTTCCGCCAGCGCTCCCAAATGCATTTCCTCAGCTAAGGTCAGCCTAATGACAGATCTCATTCGCAGGCACTGAACTGTCTGCTCCGAAGAGCTCAGAGCAAGACGGGCTCTCCCACGGGAGCAGATTCCAACAGTGGGAAAAGCAGCCTCAGGCCGCCTCCCACTTGTTTGCTCACAACAAATTTACAAAGAGCCAGGTCCCCACAACTCACACTTGGGGGATATCGTGCTAAGTATTTAAGAACGGAATCCAAGAGCAAGTCACACTTTCTATCCTGTTCTAGTACAGATCTTACACTAATAGGGGTCTGCAGGATGAGAACCCAAGTCGCTGTACCGGTTATTTGCTAATTAGGAAGTCAATGAAGAGGCAGCTAATTGAGCTGGCGAGTACAGCAAACGCCGTCCCACCAGGATGGAATGCAGATGTTCTACTGATAGCACAGTGCCAGAGTGACACCTGCAGGACGAGCCACGAAACACCTCGCAGAGCGGTACCTGAGTTTTCCGGTGCTACTTGCACCGAACATCTGCCTCGTTCTGCACTGCTCTTTTCAGAGAAAAGCAGGGAGGAAATGACTTGGAAGCAAAATCCAACCAAAGATATCCACAAACTCTTCTGACAAAATTGTAATCGTCGAATCACGTGATCGTTTGAGTTGGAAGGGGCCCTTAAAGGACACCTAGCCCAACTCCCCTGCAATGAATGGGGATACTCGCAGCTAGGTGGGGTGATCAGAGCCCCTCTGGCTGACCCTGAATCTCTCCAGGGATGGGGCTTCCATCACCTCTCTGGGCAAACTTTGCCAGTGCCTCATCACCCTCACTGTAAAAATTTCTTCCTTACAATCTAAACTTCCTCTTCTAGCTTAAAACTATTCACAAAAATACAGAGACAGAATAACAGAAACAGAGAAACAGCTTCCGCCATTTGTGACTTCCTCAGGTTTCTCTTTAGAAGATCACACAGGTGATCTGAGTTTCAGCAGAGAAGCATGGAACTTCTCATGGACGTTTATTGTTACTCCCAATTAAGCTTATCTGCCAGTAGGAGTGGGGCTACAGCATAGGAATTAGGGCAAGCTAGGTATTTACCCCAAAAGGTCAATTTAGGTCAAAGCTATCTTGCCCAGATGGCTAATTTCAATCTCTTACGCATATAACACAATTGTTCAATAAGCTCAAAATAAATAGTCTAAGTAATTAATTTAAAGCTGCCCTAATTGTTTCTCAATATTCCCTATTAACTGAAGCTGTAACATTTCTTCTATCAAAGCTTCAAAGCTTAAACTTCAGAGCCAATTAAAGCTACTTGAAAGAAAGAAAGAAAGAAAGAAAGAAAGAAAGAAAGAAAGAAAGAAAGAAAGAAAGAAAGAGAAAGTGCTGTCAGCTCTGATTCCTTCTGATTGAATTCTTTGAAGCACTCAGGGTCTAACTTAAATTGCACAAAGCTTGAAAACAGTTTGTTTTATTTTGTGGTGGTTTTTTTTTGTTTTGTTTTTGTTTTCTTTCCCAGGTATAATGTTCTCCATGAGCTAATGATCCAATGGACAATTAAAACTAAATTACATTTTTAACCTGGTAGCAACTTTCTAAGCTGCATTTGGCCTGACAAAAGTGAGTACACTGAATTCACAACTCAAGTGAACAATGAATCTCCCTTATCAGCAGGAGCTGGGGAGGATGCTGCCTGCCTTCCCTGCTCAGTCCTACAACAGCAGCTGCCTCTCAGCATCATCAAGGTTCTCTCACCCAAAGTAATGTGGCAGCTATATCCTTATTCTTTTAAATGCATGTGTGTGCATAAATACAGTCTCCTTTATTCTCTAGGCATTCAAAAGAGAAGAAGGAAGGGGATACTGGTTAGTAAAGATTACCGGTGTCTAGAGGTCATTCTCATTAGCAGGGTCCCACTAGTTTAGACATTTCAGCTTCCAAGTGCATTTGTTGACCAAAACAGGGTGCTTTCCTATTTTTAGCACAGCTGATGTAGGTCAGATGGAAGTGGAACAATTCTTCCAGCACAGAACAGAAACATCTAGTGCTGGATGAATTACTTCCCTTCCAACCAAGCTGAAAATAACTCCTTTGTGGTTTCCCAAGATTTTGTTTCCAGGAAACTGTGTTTGGATTCTCTTGTCCCTCTGTGACCCCATTACATGTGAGACTCACCGAGCTACCTCCTGAGTGCAGGCAAGCCCAGCTCCTAGCACTGTGTCCCTGCAAGGTGTTGTATTACACCATACTTCCTCGGTACCCAGTGTGACTATGAAGGGATATCCTGTGCTCCATCCTGCACATAGCTGTCTGTACTATCTTGGTTGCTCTCCTCCAGCCAAAACTATGCTTAGGGATCTTCTTTCAGAATGTACTTTCTCTGGGTGTTGTTTTTTTTTTTTTTTTGTGGTTTTTTTTTGTGTTTTTTTTTTTTTTTTTTTTTTTTTTTTTTTTTAATAATGTAGGATTAATGTTTTAGCTAATAGCAAGCTATAGAAAAACCCAAAAGAAAGAAGCCATATGGAAAGGAAGACAAGCTGAAGAGGAATGAGCTTCTTAATTTGTGTGACCAAACAGTGTGACGTGCAGCTTGAGGGGTTATGTATTGCAGTGGTTGTATTGCTACTTCTAGGATGGAACACCTGGTCCTTATCATCACTCTCAGGTTTCAAACGCCCATCATCCTGCATCTTCTACTTACCGCGGGGATCTCTCTGCCATGGGAAACATTCCATTCCCACCATAGAATCTTGGTGAGGCACTTCTATGTTTTGTTTAAATCAGATTGTTGTGGATGCTCCGTCCCTGGAGATATTCAAGGCCAGGTTGGATGGGGCCCTGGGCAGCCTGGTCTAGAAGTAAATGGGGAGGTTGGTGACCCTGCCTGTGGCAGGGGGTTGGAGATTCATGATCCTCAAGTTCCCTTCCAACCCCGGCCATTCTGTAATTCTGTGAGATGGGAGACATTCATAGGCCACAGAAGGGAGGGGTAGATGATGAGCAAGGATCCCCATTCAGGACTCTTGTCTTCAACCTTAGAAACAGAGCCAGGCATGGGGAGAAATATCCAGCTGATGCCGCATGATGAACTAAGCCGAGTTCTTTGTTGCACGGAGCCAGCACAATTCCAGCAAGCCGAGGGCTCTCAGCACTTTAAAACTTTGTATTGCCTCTTTTGGGCCCGTTTTGCGTACAGGTCTGCCACGTTCCGATCCTTCTGAAAGGACTGGCTCGTCTTAGAAGGGAGATACCTCTCTCCCTTCGAAGCGTGACTGCCTGACGCTGACCGACGCCGGCCAGCAGACGGCAGCACCGCGCACCTCAGGGCGCTCCGCCTTGCTCTGACGTCATCTCCCCGCGCCAGCCACCCGCTGCAAAGCGCCGCAACGTGGTGTGCGCGAGCCGGGCCGGCCGGGCTTTGCGCGGTGCCGTGGCGGGGTTGGAGGGCCGCGTGCCGATGCGGGGCGGGCAGGATGCAGCAGAAGCTGCTGCGCAGCGCGCACTACATCGAGCTGGGCGGCTACCAGTACTGGCCCGTGCTGCTGCCGCGCGGCATCCGTCTGTACACCTACGAGCAGATCCCCGTCTTCCTGAGGGACAACCCCTACATCACCGACGGCTACCGCGCCTACCTGCCCTCGCGCCTCTGCCTCCGCAGGTATGGCCGTCCCCGGGGCCGGGTCGGGGCCTCGGAGCCCCGCTCAGCCCCGCCGCGTCTCCCCGCAGCCTCTTTATCCTCTCCAACGAGAGCGTCAACATCTGGAGCCACCTGCTGGGCTTCCTGCTCTTCTTCACGCTGGGAATCCGCGACCTGACCGTCGTGCTGCCCGCCGCTCGCGCCGCCCGCGAGGACTTCGTCATCTGCGCCGTCTGCCTCTTCTGCTTCCAGGTGGGGCGCCGTGCTGTGCGCCGCGCGGCGGATGGGCTCAGGGGCCGAGCTGATTTTGAACTGTTTCTTATAAGAACGAAGCATGGCTGGCATAGGAGAGGCTGCAGAACGCCGGCTGGGCAGGCCGAGGCTTTGTGTTCTGGTTTCTGCTGGGCATTGTGTCCAGTGCTGTGCCCGCGGATGGCGATGGTTTGATCACCAGCTCGAGCACAAAAACCAGCTGTGGATTAATGGGGTGAGGCCAGCTGCACGAATATTAACAAGATGAGGTGCTGGGATAGTTTAGTGTGGGAAGAGGAGGCTTAGGGGAGACCTCACTGCTCTCTGCAGCTGCACGAAAGGAGGTTATTGTAATGAGGTAGGGGATCGGCCCCTTCTGCATAACAGCAGTAGCACAGGAGGTAATGGCCTCAAGTTGCACCAGGAGAGGTTCAGGTTGGATACTGGGAAACCTTTCTTCTCAGAAACAGTGGTGAGGCATTGGCACTGCGAGGTGGTTGAGTCAGCATCCCTGGTGGTGTTCAAGATATGTGGAGCTGTGATACTGAGCAACTGATAAGGTGGGATAGGGCCAATGGCTGAACTAGATGACCTTAGAGGTCTTTTCCAACCTGGATGATTCTTTGATGTTATTATACAGCTGGACTTGGGGTTCTTGTGCATTTTGCACAACTGTCAGAGTTCAAGAAGCACCTGAACAATGCTTTCAGACATAGGGTTTGGACTTTCGGTGGTTCTGTGTGGACCCAGGAGTTGGATGTAATGATGTTTATGGATCCCCTTCAAGTCTAGATATTCTATGATTCTGTTTCTCAGGGGGAAAAAAAATTGATGCCAGCCAAGAAGCCAAGTCAGTGTACTGCGTGTCAGAGGTTAGTCACTTCTGTGTACCCTCAGCAAAGCTGCAGAGTGCTGGTATTCAAGGATTTGAGCTTTGGTTTCTGCTTGTTGTAGCTGGACCATACTGAATTCATCTTGGTCATACTTGGGCAGGTGGGGCCCTGCTCCTGTATGCACTGGCACACTTTTGTACCCTCAGTGCCCTCGTTTCCTTAGCTGCAGCCTGTGGTTATCAAGTCTTGCAAAGTTTTGTGTTTCATCTGCAAAAGAGGTTATGCTAGTTTCCACTGATTATGAGCAGAAATCATAATTGTCTACACCAAGTAGTTCTGTAAAACATGTAACAGGTTACTTTTGGACTCTTAAGCTTCAGAGTTGAAGCTTAATCCCCATTAATCCCCGTCTGTTACCAAGAAATTAATGTATCCTTGTTTTGATATATTTGTGTAGGTCTGTATGCTTTGCTCAGTAGGATATCATCTCTTCTGTTGTCATCGCTCAGAGAAGACCAGCCGACGATGGATGGCATTAGATTACGCAGGAATTTCCATTGGTATCCTAGGCTGCTACGTATCAGGCGTGTTTTATGCATTTTATTGTAGTAAAGTAAGTCTGAGTCACTTGTTTCTGTGGTCCCATCACCATGGTTTCCACGTGTTGGGAAAGGGCTTTGTCACATGGTGTCCAGGTGGCACATTTGGCAGGGGACAGGTGCAGAACTTTGCTTGCAGAAGTAAAAGATTAAGAGATTCCTTTTAAGCTGTCAATTGCACAAGCCTCAAGACAATATTTAAATCATTATAAAGTCAGTGTAAACTTTACAGGTCCTGTCTTTGTCAAAGGCATGAGGCCCATAATGGGATGTTCCTCCCAGCATTTATATGGGGCAGAAACAAGCTTAAATTGCTTTGGAATTCTAAACTTTTATAACTTCTGTGCTCCCTGTACAGGAAAGTATTGATCTGGTAGTTAAAGTAGTTATAACAGAGTTATGTTTAATACATGTTTTGGTGAAGCGTGTGAAATAGGTGTGAAGTAAGAGCATCTTCCCCTTCACTGGATTACTAAGAACACACTGATTCAAGCACTGTCATTTGTGGTCACAGAAGTGACGAGAACATTTTAAATCTTTGTGTTTAGTAACATAGATTTTCTACCCAGAGTTTACCTCAGATGAGCAAACATACAAACTTAATTGTGTTTCTTTTTTCTCAGTACTGGCGTCAGGTGTACTTAATCACTGTGCTGGCAATGATCTTGGCAGTATTTTTTGTTCAGATTCATCCCAATTACCTCACACAGCAGTGGCGCAGGCTGCGCTCCATCATCTTTTGCTCAGTGTCTGGATACGGCATTATTCCTACTATCCACTGGGTTTCACTCAACGGTGGCATTGGTGCAGCTATTGTACAGGTAAAAGACAATAATACGGAAATAAGATTTACTTTTGCTTTGCACTTGGTGTCTTCCCTCGGTCTCATTTTGGAAATGAGGGAGAAGTAGAGCTAGTGACGATTTCTTAAAGCACAGAATTCCTTTGGAACGCTCAGACTTATGGAAAGCCAATCAACAGGTTGAATAGATGAAATCTGTTTCAGTGATTTAAAGTTGAACTGTGAGAAGACCCACCTGGATGCAAACATGACCACGACGTTGTGCTTGCCTGAGGGGCAGAGCAGTGTGTGCAGGTCGCACCCTTGCACACCTCAGGGCAAGGAGCAGAGAGCTGAGTCAGCAGGCGAGTGGGAAGCAGTCAGTCAGGATGCACAGGTTGCAGAGGTGAGGTGAACCAGGAGACATGGGTGGGAAGTTCTTCCTCTTCTGTGCCCTGGGTTGGTGGCAAAATCGGCATTTGCCTACACAGCCTTCTGTCTCTCACGCATAACTTGTTTAATATCACTGTTAAGTTACCAAACATATTTCCCTCTCTTGCTTTACCACTATGGTAAAGGTTACTCAGCTCTGAAAAACAGGAAGTACAGCACTGTTAAAGAAGGTGAACGTGCCCCAAGGTTTAAAAGGTTCCCCCAGGAATCACAGCCATTAGCCAGGGCTCTAATAGAGCTGAAAAAATCCTTTGCTTTCATAGCAAGTGACTGCCTGTGAAAGTTCTTAAGATTGGCACTTCAGGAGGACTGTCTTCTAGGATGCTGACTTAGCCTGGTCCAGAGCTACTGCTGAATTTGGAAGAACAGCATTGGTAATAAATGCAGTCTTCAGACAAGGTACTGAAACACTCACTTTGTAAAAGTCAAGTAGGCAAGCAATCATTGCTGCCCCTGCTTTTTCCAGTTAGTCAATTAGTTTGTCCTGATAGAGCAGAATGGTAGATGTGATACTCATTTTGCTTCCATACTTCAGAGAAAATGCTCTGCTTCCAGCAATAAAACATTCTATTATTGAAAACAAACAAACAAAAAAACTGGTCAAGTGAGTGGGTTGCTTTCCAGCAGCTAGTTTGGTTACTTACAGTCTAATCTGTAATATTCCTGTGGCCTTCCATTCAGATTTTTTCCAAGTTTTGGCATTTGTTTCTCAATTGGATTCTGTTCTATTCAATAGATAATGTGAGCAGCAAAATAATATTCCATTTTGTCACACCTTTTGTTTTCTTTTAAATGTACTTTGAAATTATTATTTTAAAATATTTTTTACCTTAGAGCAGAGTAAGAAAGCTTCCTTTTCTTTTGCAGGAGTTTGCTCCACGTGTGGTTGTCATGTATTTCATTGCTGCTGTAGCATTTCTCTTCTATATTTCCAAAGTTCCAGAAAGATACTTTCCAGGTATGAAATTCTGTTGTTTTTCTGCAGTTGAGCTTCCTGCAGTGTCACAGTCTTTGCTGCGAGTCCTGAATTTTTGATGAGAGTACAGTTGATTATGTTCTACTTAGCGTGCATTGGCACCAAAAGAACTCAAACTTGATGTGCACTTCAATCAAAAGAAGTCAGGTGACTTTTGTTGTTCTTCACTAAAGAGCTTAGCTGTCTCCCAGCCAGCTGAACGTGTGACTGAGCTTGGGAATAGACTGCCTGCTGCTTGCCTTTCATGAGTTAATGCAAATGTAACAACTGCTTCCCATTTTTGTTCCCCACAGGACAGCTCAACTACCTCGGCTCTAGTCACCAAATATGGCACATCCTTGCAGTAGTGATGTTGTACTGGTGGCACCAGTCTGCAGTGTACATCATGCAGTACCGACACAGCAAGCCCTGTCCTGAGCACAGTGTGGACTTATGAGTGAAGGTATAGCCTTTGTGCTTGTGGGAACATGAGATTTTAACAAGTAGAGAGTTAAGTAATCTTGTTTTCAACATGTCACAATGTTCCATTAGTTGATTCCATTAATTTAATTAGCTCCTCCACAGAAAATGCTTACTAGTGTAATGTTTCCTTGTGAATAAGCAAACAGCTACTTTGATAGCAGGCAGGCTGCTGCTGCTGTGTTATGTGAGTCTGCAGTGCCCTCAAGCAGGGTTTTAGAGCAGGCTGGACAAATCACTGCTAGGTCCCTAACAGCTCTGTCTGACAACAGTTGCAAGCACTTATCAACATTTGTTTATATGTAGCTTTTTCTTAATGTTTTCGTCAGGTTTTTTTTAGTCTAATATGCATGGGATCTGGGGCAGTTAGGTAAGAGTTAATGTTTCCTATGCGTAATAACTGACAATTTTTCTTTCCTCAACTGCCTTTCAGAGGCACTGCAATGAAACTTCTGACTACAGGAGTCTGAACCTTACAAATATGCAGAACCATGAAAGTAAGCACTAAGGCAGTTCCTTTCCAACTTCTGGACTGTTACCCTACTCACTGAGATGATACATTAACAGGAATGCTGGGGGGAAAAAGCAGCATTGCCTGGATCTCAATACAACATCTGAACATCTCCTGAACACCTCCAGGGTCAGTGACTCCACCACCTCCCTGGGCAGCCCATTCCAGCACCTGACCATTGTCTCAGAGAAGAAGTATTTCCTAACATCCAACCTGAATCTCCCCTGGCACAACTTGAGGCCATTCTCTCTGAGATCTGAGATTCATTTCCTTCTCATCATTTCCTGCTCTGCAATCAAGTACAAAGCAGGTCTTTCTTAGAGTGGGACAACAAAAAGGTGGGCTGTAGAACTAAGCATTTGGAGCACTGCATTATTTTCCTGCTTCGTAAATACAAACAACAGAATTGCATACCATTGCTAAGCTAGCAGGCCCATATGCCATGTCTTCAGGTTTTGTTGCAGTACAGAACAAAAGGACACACTCCCAGGAGTAGTGTGCTTTTAGAACTCTGATTAACTGAGTGGCTGGTCTTGGCTCTAAACTGCATTGGTACAGGGTGCTGCATCCTTCAGAATCATTGTCTAAGTGATGTGTGTACACTTCAACATCAGGACAGTAATGTGTAATGTCAAATTCAGTGGAGTATTGTATTTTCTAGTTGTTTCCCTTTTTCTGGGAGATGGATGTTATCTACCATATCTATCTTGATTTTAAATCTTAAATTGTGTCCTCAAGTATAGGTGGTGCCATTACTTCAACAAATCTCTCTGCACCACTCTGGTGCTTCTGAATAGTGTTCTGAAATATTTCAGGAGTAGTCTTACACTTGCTGTTACCCTGGAATTAGTAGAAGTGCAAAGGATTTTTTTTTTGTAAGTGACATGTTCTTTTAGTAGGTGTAAATAACAAGCCCAGAGTAGTAAGACTGCTATGAATTCAAGCCACTGAACTTTGGCCTTTTAATGACTTGTGCTGTACTTCCAACACTTCATTAGTTGAAGTGATTTATTGCCATTTGCTTTCTGCAGTAAAGACAACCTTGGGTTTTTATAGTCTGCAGTTAAACCATGTCTTGGTTTAATGTCAACACTAAAGAGATGAGCTACGCAGGTTGTTAGATACCTGGTGCTCAGCATGAAGCTCAGTGGGTGCCAGCCTAGAGGCTGGCAGGGTGCTGTTCAGTCCCACCGAAGTTGCCTCTGTCCTGGGCAAAACATTCCCAGCTCCCCTCAGCCTTCTACACAGGGAACGTGCCAAGGGAACAGAGATAGTCATTTACTGACAAGTATTTACCTTGTACCAGGGATGGAGGAGGCAGGACCCTTCCTCTTCTGCTGGTACGCTGGAGAGCAGTGCTGTCACCGAATCCTCACTGAGCTTAAGTGTTTTTTATTCCCAGCTCCAGAAACAGTTATTGGAAAGAACTAAATGCATTTGAAGTTCAAATCCCAGTCTTCTGAGCCTTCCAGTATAAACACTGATTATTTTTTTTTTTAAAACTTGACAGTAAAGCAAATTTGAAGTGCACTAATGACTGCTGCTAAAGTGTGACAAGGATCCTGCAATTGTTAAAGCTTGTTTTCAGTGTTACATGAATAATAACATTTGAGGAATCTGTGACTGTGTACTGAAAACATACTCATTTTAAAGTTTGCTAATTTTTTTTTCCCAAACTTACTACTGTAGCAGTTTTCACTGGATAAGATTGTTAAGTTGTACATATTTATTATCCTGACAAAATTTATTAAACTGCATGATGGCCTTTTCTGTAAATACTGAGCCTGTAAATAAATTTTGGTTCATTGGATGTTTACTTTTAACAGAGTACTCAGATGACGCGTGAATTGCTGTACACAATGTTTGAAATGGGTGACAAGCAGAAGACAGAACAACCATGAACGAGCCACAACTTTGTACCTATGTTCTGTTGCTGCTCCTAGTCTTTCTACAGTGTTGGTTTTCTTCAGCTTAGATATGAAATAAACCAGTAGAAGCAGTTACCAAAAAGCTGCTCTGGCCAGTAGTTGGCAGAGTGAGTCAAATCAAGTGAAAAACATGTCTCTAAGATTAAGTGCAGAACTAAGCCTGGAGTTAGCAATGAAAATTAAAGTTATGGCCCCTGAAAAGGGATAAAGCTTCAGTTAGCAGCTACGAATCTGAGTGTGTCCTTCCAAAAGCATTTTGAAAGCAGGAAGGCTTAAAGGAGTAATAATGAACCTAAGGACATTCTTAATATATTATCCAGAAGTTGAACCGAGATGGCAGTAGTGGGCTGCTAATATAACCATCATTAAAAAACATCAACAGGAACCTACAGCCACAAAAAGCAACTAGGAGAAGCAACATTGCTTATAGAATAGCTTGCAGCCTAAATGAGAGTACTTAATAATGCCGTGTTTAAGGACATCTGCGAAGTCACTGTTATCATGTTTATTTATTTAACAACTGCAATATTTATGACATACATCAGTTTCACAAAACTCTGTTTAGTGGTACACAAAAAAGCTTAGAAACTTGAAGTCTAACAAGAAATGGAAGTGTAGTTCAGGAAAGTGCACTTAAAAGCTGAATGCCAGCAATTTTAAAATAGATTTTATGCTCTTTAATATTAGGTGATGCCTTAGTCACAAACTCAGCTATACACACCACTTCCTCAATTTTTCTTTGAAAAGAAGCGCTGTAGAAAAGTAACTCAGCAGCCACCCCTTGCACTTTTTTCTCTTGCAGGTTTCCCTTATTCACTCCTCCTAGTTTCATCAGAATGATTGTGGCTGCAATGTTACTAAAAACACAGTGCGATGTGTGCGAGCATGTGTATCTTTTATATATATTTCTCATATATAAAAATACACTATATAGTATAAAAAACTCCAGATAAACTCTTATTCTCACAGTAGCAAATATACCAACTTATTTTCACAGTACTTAGTTTTATTAACTGGGACAACCAGAATGATTAAAAATTATTTCCTTGAAAGTTGGTTTTCGCAGGTCCCGCGTGACACAAGTCAGCAAAAGCAATTCCGCACATCTCACGGCTATTGAGAGTCTGCAGAGAAACTCACCCTCTTATCTTCCTTTCAGTGACCATAACTATGAAGGGCTTCTTAGTACCTTTGACAAAAACTGCCCAAAGCAGCCGATTCTGACAGGTCTATGGTTCAGTCATTCAGCAGACTGAAAGAACTGTTAAAAACTTGTTGCTATTTCCTGGTGAAAGGGAAGTGTGAATTCCTTACCTTGTGATCATCATCTTCACAGACATATGGTTCAAGTCTAAGTGCACATGGTCTTTCCAGTATTTCTGGTAAGGTCACAATACTCTCCAGGAACGACAAGCACACAGGTAAAGATATCTACATGCTGAATAAAGGCAAAAGGATACTATGTTCCCCAGCAGTACCATGCTTTGCCTCTGCTGAACCATAGTTGAAGCTTAAACCCAGGCTGCAAACTTAATAGACCACAGAGTTGATGCAATGAAGCATACTTATCTCAGACGAGAGAAAAAAATCATTTTAACTCAAGAAACATAAAAACTGCATGTATGCAAAAAGTTATTTCATAGATGTAAGTACAAAGATCAAGGCTTATTAAGGCCACAAGAAAGCAAGTATCATTGGCTGTAACTCGGAGGCAGCTGGAGGCACAATGCCAGTTTCAGAGTAACTTGGGTTTAAGGTTTGCTTTCATCTCTCCTATCAGTTATTGTACACAATCCAACTTCAGCTTTCCTGTGCTGTAATAAAACCATGTGTGAGCCCTCTGTCAAAAAAATAAAGTAGTAAAAAATCCACCACACAAAGAAATTCTGCTGCGCTCTTCAACCTGAAACTTCAAGGTCATCAGACAGAAATCAAATGTGATTCTTTCTTCTTGTAATTTACCTTAATTGAAGCCCACACTAAGCACCTAACAGCCATGCCAACCCTCAAGCTGTTCTTCCAGCAGGGAAAGCAGTAACTGCATGGTGCCAATGATGACTGGCCGTATTTAAGACTGCGGGTCAGTTGCTTGTTGCTTTATTCTTGTTTTGTTTCCACCCATCTGTCCCGTTTTTCATAATATTCTGTTCCAACAGCTGTCTTTAGGCCGGAATAGTGACAGTTCAGAAGGAAACTGCAGGAAGGCAGCTAATAAGCACGCACATAGAAACAAAATCGCAGTTAACCTGAGTATCAGAAAATGCTACAGACTCAGCGTGCACTTCTTACAGCCTTTGGCACAAAAAAAAAACCAAACAGTGAGAACAGTAGTAATAAAGCCTAAGAAACTCCTGTGCAAATAGAGTTGAAACACTTCTACTCACATACTCCTAAAAGCTTAACTTCTAAGCCTGAAAAAGTCATTCTTAAACAAGCAGAGCTGTAGTTTCTTTTTCACCTTGTCAGAGGAAAGAAAAAAAAAAAAAAAGGGAAGATAATTGCAAGTGTACAGATACATATGAATGAGTTCAAAATCCAGGACCAGGGAGGCAGCATTTTATCAAAACCAGCTCTGAAAGGAGAAAAAGAATTTGTCTTTAACATGCCATTTTCAACAAATATTTCAAGGGATCTACTTCCTACCCTCACCAATTTCAAAATAACTCATTAAACAGCAGTAGAATTTGAAGAAAAAATGCACAACCCTCAATATTTCACTTCACATCCTGTGAGGAGAGGAGGGCAGGAGGAATCAGCCATGAATTCTTACGGTCTCTTTTTATAAACATGGAATGCTCTTCGACATTCAGTGGAGCAGGACGTAAAGCTAAGACAAGCAGAGGAGCTGCCTCCTTCCACTTCCTTAGGATTGCCATAGAAACAAAGCAAAGAGGACCACTCTGATGTACACTCACTCTGCAGCCAGTGTACATGGCTCAGCTCGAGTCGTGAAGCAGTGGAGTTACAAAGCACATGGTGTCACCATCAACACATGGTAACCGCATCTCTCCAACGAGCCGGTTCGCGTTGCCTTCCCATCACTACTGGCACTGCAAGCTCCAAGCTTTCAGCCATGTCTGCGCACCCGATGTCTTAGAGGTACTGTGTGGCAGGACAGCAATCCTGCTGGTAAGGCGTTGCGGTGTGAAATGCAGCTTACTGCTGCAGCACAGAACAGCATTCTGCAGACTACTTGCTGCTACTGCTTCTGAAACAAAGCCGGGTCCAGAGAAGTTTCTTCAAAGCTCAGTGCATTTAGCAAAACTTTCATAAAAAAAACAAAAACAACACACTTACATACAGAAACAGGTCCATCAGAAGTTGAAAATGTTAGGTTACAGTCATTTCATAAAATTATCATTTTATAAAACAACATGAGTTTGGACACAACACACATTTTCTTTGTGGTAGAAATCCAAGAGGAAAAGAAAATGCATCTTCAGACACAACCCCCAACTTGTAATCAGATAAAACCGATGGTGCATTTCAGTCAACTGTACAAGTCATCTGAAATGCTCCACCCATGCCAGATGTCCTTCTCACCAGCCTCTTCCCCCAGTGTGCTGAGTAGTCTTCAAAGTGCTGCAAACACTGGCTACATCCCTGCTGGTTTACTCCTCTACATTCAGATTCCATTTCACAAACTGTTATGTTCTTTGCATCTGCATTTTAACTCTAGACTTCCAGTTTGCTATTTTACATTAATGGCACTTACTGTAAAAAATAAAATTGAAGATTTAGGCACACACACAAAAAAAATAATCTGCCTTTCAGCTCTGCAGCTGCATAGATGTCTACCAGGTACAAAGCCACAGCCATGCTTTGAAATTCTGGGCTGCAGCTCCGTGATGACCTGGCTTCATTATTTTATGATTAACAAAGGTAGTTTTCATCTAGGAAGTGAAGAATTGACTACTCCCAGCATATAAGTCTGGATATTAGTATGTTTAGGTTCTTAGGTCTAGTGCAACTGAGACAAAGAAGAACCACAGTTCCTTCAGCCTATCTATAAGTTTGGAAAACTTTTTCATGTTATCTTTGCCTGTTTCCCTTCCCTCCATTTCAGCACATTGCCGAGTGCTGAAAAGGTGATGCAAAAGTGCAGGATGACATTTTCCAGGTCCAAAAGTCAGCAACAGACACCAATTCATGTCCCATTTCTCTTTATGTTCTGGGAGCCATCTTTCATAACAAAAGTTTTCAATTTCTCTCAAAAGAAAATTAAAAATTGCTTTCTTTTGCATTCCATCATGCAAGCCAGCCGTGCCTTCTTTAACTTGAATAAACTGTACAGCCCAGCTCCCTGTCAAAGAGAGAAATGATTCTGCTCATTGAACTCACTACTAAGCAACTCAGAGAGGTGGAAGGAGGGACCCGCTGGAAGCATTTACTGTTTCGAAGGAAATGGAGCTGCTCCAAAGGGATCCAACTCTAGTGCCTGTTGCTGCTGACTCTGTGCACTCTGTACAACCAGTTCTGTAAAGGGGACTGCACCAAAATCATCTGTTTTCAGCCCATCACCAGCATGCACCGGTCCCAGCAAGGAGCTCTGCCGAGGCCTGCTAGCCACTACCACTGCACCATGATCCCCACGGCTGTCACCAAACCCCTGATGCTGAGGATGCCGCATCAATTCTGGTGGGTGGAAGGGTTTGGCTCCAAAGGGATCCAGCAGACTCTCATCTGTCTGCAAAGGGTTGGTTCGGTCTTTGCTGTCCGTCAGTGAAACACTGATGTTCTCTTTGGAGTCAGAGATGGTCAGGAACTCGTTGCTGCTCTGTGAGTCCCTGCGGCCTGCTTTCTTGTGCCTGCGGGCTCTTTCGGGAGTGCGGTAGTTGGGTTTCAAAGTCTTCTTTGTGGTTGTTGGGGTGCCATGGTGACGCTTCCCATTGTTCTTTGGGACCTCCTGCTTCATGCGCCTCTGACGGGATGAAAGCTTCTGCAGGTTGCGCTGTTGCTTTACCTTCTGCTGCTGCTGACTCCCAGTGATCTCTTCAAAAGGAACCAGCCCAAACAGGTCCTCTTTACTCCCACTCATCTTGGGGAGTAGAGAGGGCTGAAATGGGGTGCAACCAAAAACATCAACGCTCCGTGGCGAGGTGGGTGAGAGCTGTGTTTTGGTTCCCACCACCTGGTCATCTTGCTGAGAAACCTTTTTGCTGAACGGAGCTTTGGTGAAAACATCAAAGTCATCCTGCTCTTGGCTCAGGCTGGGAAATGCAGTCTGAGAAGAGACATCCTGGTTGCCCTTCTCTCTTGGCTGAGGCTGAAGAGAAAAAAAGGGCACTGCCCCAAACACATCAAATTCTTGGCCAGGGCTCACTTTGACAACAGTAGTTGGCACCTCAGGTGTTTGCATTAAGCTGGGTTCTTTAACTTTACTGCTGCCCATAACATTTCTGAATCTACTGCTTGGGAGCCCTTCCACAAATTTTTGTTTGGTACGGTCAGATTCAGAATCAGAACTTTGCTTCTCCTCCTCCTCTTCTTCCAACTCTTCCTCAGAGTCCATGAGCAGAGGGCGGTGGCCTAAATTCTCTGGTTCTGTATCATTGTCATCATTGAAGTCTCCATTCTCACCTTGCAAGACCTCCTCATCCTCTTGTTCTTCTTCCTCCTCGCTACTCTTAGGAGAGGGAGGATCTGATTCAAAATCACTCTCTGACTCATCACAACCTTTTGTCACTTGTCCCTCTGCAGTCTTCCTTCCTGGCCGGGGATCTTTAAAAGCATGACTCAGTCTTCCAGCTTTGTTTGGGGTCCCTAAGTTGTTTCCTTGACTGCTGGCTGAGTTCTCCAATTGTTTTCCAGGGGAATCTGCAAGTCCAAAATAAAAAGAAAAGAAAAACAATTTTAATACACTGCTAAAATCAACACTTACTGACAATAGTCACACATAAGAGCAATTAAAGCAAATTTGTATTCCATAAATACAGAGGGAAAATAACTAAAAACCAGATCTAAGTTTTCAAATGCTAATGAAAGGGGTTAGTAGTTAGAACTTCTAGCTTAACTCCTCAAGCACAGAACCTTTCCAAATCCAATACTAATATATGCATCAGCCAGCCACTTGTCTGCAGGGAAAGATGAGCTGCCTTCTGTAGAGGTTCTCCAAGGCCAACACCTAATACCAAGCAGTCAGATACCTGGGACAACACTGACACACTCAGTACAGTTTCACATGGGGAACAAGTGCATGAAGCTGTCAGTTCTCAGCTTTTCCTTTCTCAAGCATTCATTACTCTAGACAATCCTACTTAATGTCTCCATGATGATTAGTTCTCTGTAAGGCCTATGAATAACAGCAGCTGGGTGAGAATAACCATGTACACATCCCAACTGTAGGGAAGATTGCATGAGATCATCTCTGTCCTACCCTCAGGGTATCCGCTCCTTCCTAGAGCCTACCAACATCCACAAGAATGGATTTTGTTGGTGTTTCTCCTCACTCAGTACTATGTTTCAAGGCATCCAAAGAGAAATGGACAAGACAACAGTACCTCTGGGAAAACAGCAAGGCAATCAGTGAAAATAACAGTATGGAATCAACGAAGAAAGGACAAATGTGTTCACAATGTGTCTGAATTTCAAGTACTTCTCCACTAAATCACTAACAAAAAGCATAACTTGGACTCTTCACTGCGAATTGAACTAGATGGCCATGGCCATTGGTGCATCTGAACAGGCACCCCAAGTACCTGCCCTCTGTGTCAGCTGTGACAGCCTCTCCCAACAGAGCTCGTGTTGCGAAAGCAACATGGGGAGCTTTTACAGTGTTGTGGGGTTTTTTGGTGTTTTTTTTTTTTTTTTTTTTTTTAGGCAATACTTGTTTGGTGTTTCAAATATATGCTTTGAGCACATCTTTCTGTACTGATACTGAAGCTCCACATTCAGTCCCTTCTAACTTCTAGTGCAGTAATTTAAGCAAAGAAAAAAAAAAAGTTGAAATAAGTTTCAAATAAATGTTTTTTTCTTCTCTTTTGTGAAGTGGTTGGCTTGGGAATACTGGGGGCTGCAAAAACTTTGTCAGCACAAACAGATGGCAACAGTAGACAGTGCATGTGCTAGTATAGTGCCACTAGTATAGCAACAATCACAGAATGGCCCGGGTTGGAAGGAACCTCAAGCATCATGAATCTCCAACTCCCCCAGCTGCAGGCAGGGCCAGCAACCTCCACAATGAATGCATACATTTCCTTCTTCCTCAAAAAAAAAAAAAAAAAAAAAAAAACAACCAAAACCACAATCAAGATCTGGATCTCCTGTTCTTCTAAAACAAAAAGCAATTTCATTTCAGGTTGTATCTTCTTCCACAAAGAAATAAGCATATCACTTTCAGCAGAGAGCCAAGCCATTCTTTCTTTCTGTGCTCAGATTTCAATTGGAACGTTAAGTTTTAGAAGACAAATGTCTTTTTTTTTCCCCTCTCCATTCCTTTTTTTTTTTTTTTAAACTGTCTGGCTTCTATATTCATCAGCCATTTTGCTAGTTTGTATTTATATCCAAACTTCCAACAGGAGTTCTGCGGTAATGGATTTGTATGTATTTTATGTACAGATTTAAAACCAAGATGACCAAAATGACTGAAAACATCAGGTGATTAGGGCTTTGAGCTGTTTTTTGTTTGCTTCTGGTGTCAGATTGCTTCTTATCTTCTGTGATTTTAAATACTACATATTTGTTTTACCACTAAATTAGAAACTGGATTTGGCTGCTTGCTTTAGATTTCCCTAAGGTATAGTCTTCACGTTGCATTATAAACCCCCATATCTTCCAAATCCTGCTGTTCGCAGTATTTACTGAAACACTGATGTTAACATAAATGTAATTAGATTTAAAAGGAGGGGGAAAAAAACAAAATATTTCTAGGTTAGATTGTAGCAACACACACAACAAAAATAACCTACAACCTTTTTAGTGTTTGAGTGTAAACTCACATGTATATTGACAGTGTTATACTTCCATACAATTTCCATGTTCTGAAGGTGTGAAAGGCTTTTTGAACAAGAAGCAAACTAAAATATATCTTAATAAAAGGATTTAAATATTATTTGTTAATTGCTGCCACAGTTATACTCAGTGGAAAACACAGTGCAAAGGACACCAGCAAGAAAAAGGGGACCATATCAACAGTTCACATACACTGCTCAAGTAACCAAAGTCACATAATGAAGATGTCTCTTAGCAGACCTCTTCAGGCAGGACAGGACAGACACCAAGTAGGACCCGACAAAGCACAGTCAGACACTGAGATCAGCCTCCCAAGCCATATTTTTATGCGCTGGTATCAGTATACAATCCACTCTAGTATATCAGAGGCACACCTCCAGCTGATACTCCAGTTGGAAACGCGCCACAAGTAACTTTGGAAATCAATCACCTGAAGACTACAGGCAGTATAGTTGTAGGGAATCTAGATCAGCATCCTGAACTTTCTTCTGGAATCTAACTGCAATGTCCAGAACAACATTATTAAAATTTCAGGGCATATATAACTCTACATGCACAATCCCAACAAGAAAGCAAGCAACCACGTCAGATGACACTCAAGGCCACACCTCATTCTCCTATGTACTTTTTGAGAAAGTGCTATTCATTTCAAGTATTTCAAGAGTGGTAATCTGATTGCCCCTCCTCCCTATTTTTGTTTTTTCCAGAAACAGCAAATGTCTTGCTTTATTCTTCAGACTGTGCCGAGGTGTTACAAACAATCAGAGCCATCTGCTCCAAGCACACTTGAGTTTAACATTACTTTTACATACTTTGCAGGCTGACACAGACTGAATTCATGGAAGAAACTGGTTCTGCATGTGCTTTTTCATTGCAATATCCCCAGTTTACTCACAATGATGGAGTAATGGAGAAAATCACAGCAGACCTGTGTCAAAACCAAACAGAAGGAGCAAAAATCTCTTCCATGCAGCCGCTGGCTTTAAACCTATGTCTTTTAGCAATGTCTTTTAGCCTTTCAAGCTACAATTCACATCTTTCACTTCTAAAGAAGTTAATAAACTGAATACCAAAAGCATTACAAATAGAAAATTAATGCCCCAAAAGGGAAAAATTTCTCCGTTAATGACAATTTAATGCTCTGGTCAAATAGATTTCAAAATTGAAGCATTCCATCATGTTGATTTCATGCAATCTTCTCAAACTAAACTGCTGCATAGACTGTTCAGATAAACATTTATTAAAAAGCTGAAAAATGTGGAGTAACATCTGTTTGTAATGTACTGTTCAGATTAGCACACTTCTAATCAGGTTTGCATCTTGTAGGAGACGATTGTTCTTCACTCAAATGCAAGCCAGGTGGAACATCTTTAATCATATAAGAAGATCCCAATCTTCAAGGAAATTTTCTGTTCTGATGTTCTTTTTCTAGACATCCGATTATAAGAGGATGAATTCCTCCTAACAACGTCAGTAATTGCACGCCTTCTGCTAGTTCATCATTGGAGGGTATTGCAGGGGTGACCAAAGGGTAGGGCGTAAGGGCTTTCAGCTTTCTTGGAATTGGTAACATACTGCCGCCATCATTTCAGAGCAATTTGCCACATGTCAGGCCCAAGGATTACCAGCACACTGCAACTAAATCTGCACTATTTCTTTGACAACAGCCAGAGCAGCAGCTGCTGAATATTGTAATGGATTTGCACTGCTTACCACTTTTATTTTCAAGAAAAAAAAAAAAAACAAATCACTTCTGCCTAGCATCTATTGCTTAGAAATTCTTTCCAATATTTGCAGTCTGCATGTTGAAGTATGTAAAGAAAAAAAAGCGACCATGATTGCTCTAAGATCTGATTAGAAAAAAAAAAGCTAGAAAGCATTAATGCACACCACTGGCACAGCTGCACATGCCATTTGTTCTTGTGAAGCATGAATAATCTCAAGTTACTTTACAAGTCCTGTTGAGAAAAGTCTAAAGATGACGCATGGAAATACCCTGAACCTGCAGTCAGCAAATAGCACCAATGCCCGAAAGCCATAGCCAAGGAAAGTTTATACAGTAAAAATCACTATTTTAATCAAACACAAAAACTGATATGAACTGATTTGAACTGTCAGATTAAACAGATCTGGAAGACTGTACAACAACCCTATTAAATGCTCAGGCTTGGGTTTCTTTCAACACACAGTTCAGGAACATCTACTGCCAGTTTCAGCCTCTTCATATCCTTCCCAAACATGTGAATACATACCTGATTGCACTTACTTTGCTGGACTTTTAGCATCTTATGTTAAGTGTTATGTCAAAAAAAGATAATACAAGATCTCTGGTTTCTTTGCAAGTATCTTCTATCACATAATAGAATTATTTAGTCATGCTGTGCTTTCAAATAACATGTAAACTTCCAAAACAAGAAAAAATCTCCAGGTAACTCTATCCTGCTGCAGCCCACACGTATTAGCAGTTACGAACCCAAGACTCAAGTCACACAACAGCAACAAAAGCAGACACAGACCATAATTCCAGTCCAAAGCCTGTTAATGCAACAGAACACTTCAATAGGAAGTCTTACTGTTTAGTAACATCAAATTTTCATTCTGCTCTTAATTTTAAGTAATCTGTATTAATAACATGAACATTTCATCACAGTTCAAGAAGTCGACAGTCAGATCTGGCTGAGCAGTGATAATATACTCCTTGTTTGCAATGCAGACAGATACAATAAGGAAATTAAGACGAAGTCAGTCTCACACCACATCTGAGTTTCAGCTAGGACAGTTGAATAAGGCAATACAGAATCATAGAGTATCCTGAGTCGGAAGGGAACCTTAAGGATCACTGAGTCTCCACACAGGATCACACAAAACAGCTCCTCCCAATTTAGTACTATCAGTGACCTTGCTCAAAACTCCTTCTAGTTCTACATCCAACTAATTTATGAAAACATCAGAGAGAACCAGCTCTAAAACAGAGCCCTGGGGAGCTTGATGTAACCCTATTTATTATAACCCTTTGAGCCTGACCTATCAGCCAACTGCTCACCCATCAATTATGTTTTTGTCTAGTCATATGCTAGACATTTTGTTCATTTTGTACTGTGAGAAATAGTATCAAAAGCTTTTTGGATTTCAGTAAAGATAACATCAACTGCCTTTCCATGGTCAACTACATGGGTGACCTTGTCATAAAAGGAGATTAAATCAGCTAAACAGGACCTTCACCTCATTAATATGTACTGGCTGTAGCCAATGACAGCATTGCCTTTCAGGTCTTTTTCAGTAACTTCTAGCATAATTTTCTCTATAAGTTTACCAGGCACTGAAGCAAGACAGACAGGTCTGTAATTATCAGGGTCATGTTTCTTACCCTTCTTGAAAACTGGAACAACATTTGCTAGCTTCCAGTCAACTCAGATCTCTCCAGATTCCCAAGATGGGTAAAAAATTAATTTAGAGAAGTCTCATGATAACATCAACCAACTCTCTGAGCACCCTGAGATGAATTCTATCAGGTCCCCCGGACTCCTGTGCACCCAAGTGGAGCAGCAAATCTTGCACAAGTTTAGGGTTGTCTGGGAGTTGACCATGATTGCAATCACAGTCCTCTAACTCAGGGCACCTGAGGCCCCAAAGTCCATCATCAGTGTTGAAGACAGAGGCAAAGAATGCACTAAACATCTCTGCTTCATCTATGTCCACATTTGTAAGATGATTGCTCTCATCAGGCAACAAACCACATTCTCTCTGATCCTCCTTCTACTGTTAACATATTTAGGAAAACTTTTTATTGTCTCCCACAGCTTCAACTCTAGCTGAGCTTTGGCTGCACAAATATTCTCTCTACAAAAATGAGGAACATCCCTGTAGCCTTTTCATGTCACTTGATCTTGCTTCCAACAGCCATATGTTTTCTTTTTCACCAAAGCTCTGGAACCCACATAAGATCCCTGTTCAGCCAAGCCAGCCTTCGACCTCACTTGTTTCTGACATTTTGGAATTGCCTTACAGCAATCCTGGCATGCTGCCCCTAGGCTCATATCTAGCAAGTCTGATTTCACCCCTTTTCCCCTTCAAATCTAGTTTAAAGCCCTCTCAACAAGCCCTGTCAACACATGGGCTAGAATCCTTTCCCCTCTTTAAGACAGGTGGACCAAATCTGTAACCAGCAGGCACTGTGCTCGATAAACCACTCCAGGGCCAAAGAAAACAAAATTCTTCTGATGGCACCAGCCTCTTACAGGCTGTCAAACAGACTGTCAAACAGGTGTTGATCAGATGGGTTTTCAGATTCCTCCCAGTACTTACCTCTGCTACTCAAGGGATGGAGGAAAACATCACACGTCCTGGTTTCAGCTGAAGCAGAGTTGATTATTTTTTTTCCTTCAGTGTCTGGTAGGTTGCTATGTTTTGACTCTGAGAGAAAAATAATGTTGATGACACACCAGTGTTTCTAGCTGCTGCTGAACAGTGCTGTATAGAGCCAAGGACATTTCAATTTTTCATCTTCTCATACTGTTCGGTCAGCAAGGGGCTGGGGGGCACAAGTTGCTGGGAGGGGACAGAACCAGGACAGCTCTGAGCTACACAGGCCAAAGGGATATTTCATGCCATAACATCCTGTGAAAAAAACCCTATAAAACAGAGGGGAGTCTGCTGGGGAGGGGGGGGGGGACGGGGAGGATTGAAGGGGTCCTGCCTCTACTTGGGACTGGCTAGGCATCAGTCAGCAGGTGGTGAGCAACTGAACGTGCATTATTTGTTTTGTAAATACATATTATATTCTTAACATAATTATTATTGTTCTTTCTTTTCTGTCTTAGTAAATAGTTTTCACCTCAATTTGAAAGTTCTATTTTATTGGGGTTTTTTTGTTTGTTTTTGTTTCACCCCCACCCCCAATTCTCTCCCTCATCTCACAGGGACAGGGATAGAGCAAATGACTGTGTAGAGCTTGGCTGCTGCCACAACATACCCAAATACTGGAACTGCTGGAAACGTTAACCATGCTCCACTTTCTATTCAGACACCTTCACACTTATTCCTTGAATAAGGTATACATGTCTAAAAGCTTTTATAATCATAAGAAACAAGCCAGAAAAATAACACTGCACAGCAATGGGAAGAACAAGAGGACATTTCCAAGAACAATTCAGTGGGGGAAAACAATTTAGATTCTTGAAGATATTTTCAGGTGTAAGCATTCATCAGTTAAATGTAAGTCACTGTTAACACTGAATTCAAACGCCTTCCTTGAAATCAAGCAAATACACATGCTTGATTAAATTCCAATTTTAACTAGGTAGAAAACACCTACTGAACAAGTTTTGGGGGCTTCTTTGTCTTTTTTTTTTTTTAATGCAATGAAGTGTCAGTTTTGATGCACAACCAAACCTTTGTACAGTTTTAAAGATTAACCATGGTAAACTGACATAATATAGCAGGGCCATTCGGTGAAGTCTAACCTATAAGGTAACGATCTTAAAAGCAGAAATAAGAAAATAAATTTCAAAGGCCAAGATATGGAAACAAATAAAAGTGATCCTTACACACATGGTTATAAAAATGCAGAAGAATAAGCATCTGACAGTTACTGCTTCAGATTAAAGGTAACTACTGTTTACTTTACATGGGAACTTAGGCTCATCTATAACACCTCTTCCATGAAAACTAAAGAGTAAATGTTTCCAAACTGGCAACTATTGGGATAGCAAATACTTACACACTTAAGAATTGCCTTCACGTTGTATTGAACTACTAAACTACAAGAACAGAACTACAGAAAACAGCCTTACCTTTAACCAAGCAAGCAGAATCAAAAGACAGACTAAGAACAGAGTAACATATCTAAGGGAATTCATTCCAGTCTTTGTCACAAGAACAGAGGACACAGATATAGAAACATGATTTTACAATCAACTGTCTTCTAGAATGTAAGAAGTGCTACCCTGTTGTTTCTTCACTGTGCATAGCACCAGAGCCCTTGTGAGTATTAATACCTACAAGCCATCTTTAGGAATTCAAGGTGAAAGCAAAAGTAAACATAGATGTTAATTTTGGTTGACTCTAAGGCAATTTATTTTAAGGCACTTCAAGCTTTTGAACTGAGATAAGAACAGTTAACAGAAGGCATATTAAAGCACATTTTTCCCCCAAACAAGTACTTGTAGGGATGTGTGTAAGATCCATAAGCAACTGACATTTTTACCATCAATTCTCACAGATTTTCACATTGCCTCAGGTTGTCAAAATTATAAATAAAGTGCTGATCAGGAAAACATTAAAAGATTAAGTTGCAAAGTAACAGATTCACATTCATAGTCAGTGGTCACAAATGTTATTTTGTACTTCTAAGGTAAAATAAAAAATAGTCAAAGCTAAAACACGAATCCTTCTCCTTTCAGATTTAGATATGACAAAATATTTGTTTTGAATCAATTTGCTCCAAAAACTATACAATTCAATACACCAAGAATACACATTTTTAACTTGGCTGAAGAACTGAACTAAAGAAACAGCGTAAGTTAGAAGTAGACTGGAGGGCAGATGTGAAATCTGTTCTTAGTCACTTATCTCCTTTCAGCAGCAGCATTCCTAGTTGTATGCTAGTGATTCACACTGCACTGGTCCAATATATTTGCACTGTCAAGACTACAGTCTGCACACTGTCCAAGTACCAGGAATTAGATGGAGAGATATTTTTATTTTGGAGGTAGTAGACATGAAAAACCATCACGAGGCAGCCAAGACTTTAATCTTTGGTCATTTAACTGGACACACATGTTCAACATATATATACACATATATATTTGTGTGTGTATATGTATGTACACACATACGAGGTAGCAATGTTACAGACGTCACTTGCCTGGGTGAGAAATGAAAGGAACAGAACCAAATGGATCTTCGGGAGGACTTTTCTGTGGAGCAGAATGTAGCCCCACATTCTTATCTGAAGTTGTTCTCCTGTCCACCAGCCTGTCTGTAAAAAATAAAATGAAACAGAACAAAAAATAAAATAAAATAAAAATGGCAGGTCTTACTCCAATGCAATGATATCTACTCTTTGGGGTGAGTGAGCTACACAGCGTTGATTATTTTCCTGTAGGTTTTAAAGATACTGTTCATACTTCTTGAGCATTCTGGAATACTGATCTGCACAGATCCTTTTTTAATACCTTTTGTCTAAGCAAAATCAACAGGTATTTCCTAACGGAATGCTTTACAGAAAGGTCATAAAAGCAGCCTATGTGCTCTATATCAGAAATTACAACTAGTCATCAGCACTTGAGGTTTTTAAACCAGAACCACTGTGCTAATCTAAAAAGCAAAATCATTCATTTAATCCAAGTTTTGAGTAGCCTTTGCCACAAAGAAAAAGTTAACAGTCACAGCAGAACTTTCTATATTTCTAATACTTTCTAATACTACTACTTTCTAATACTTTCTATTAAAGATATAAACTGTAATAATTTGAAACAGATAGAGCGTAACTATACAGAGAAATGCAGTATTTGTTTTATATGGTTTTCAACTCTGGGGTATTCATTTTTCATTTTATTAAAAGTTTCAGCTTAAGGTTTTTAACAATGCAAAAATTAGAAGCACTAGGAATGGAAAGCGGTTTTTCTGCCTAAGCTCTTGTCTTACAGCAAGGTCACATTGAGCTCCAGACTGCCTAGCCCAGCCACCACACTGCATCTCAGGAGGATCCAGGAAGACTCATTATCACCTCCCAACATCACAGGGACAAGGTTTGCCATCCTCAGCTACTGTGCCATAGTCTCGGCACAAGGTGCAGCATCTTGGTCTCCCCCCCTTTCACAGCAGACAGCTGTTCTTCCAAGCAATTTGTAGCAGGTCCTTCTTGTCAACTTGCAGCTTTTGAAATGCAGCTGAACTGTGCTTAAGTAGCATATCAAGTTCCTTGCATGTGTGCTATTCAGCCCTTCCATACAGGACACAAGAGGCTTTCTTGAGATAATCACCAGGACTAGGACAGCAAGCTTATCTACTTCAGACAGATGCATATTAACTCTGTATACAAAGTACATGAGTTCTGAAATTATATGCCAGTTTTCCACAGACAAGTGCTCTCTTCACATAAAAGCACCCATGGTTTCAGTTGTTTTATTCTTATCTACACTTACATGCTCAAAGAAATAAGAAGCAGGAGCTGTTGCATCACAGGCAATCTACTTTAAATTTAAACCCATCTGAGAAACTTCTGGTGGGGAGATAAAGTAGTGATGCAGTCACGTAGAATAAAAATACGAGTTAAGATGCATAGAAGACTAGCTTGAATAGCTTCTGGGTGTACCCAATCTTCAGCTTGCACCTTTAGAAAAGCAGGCTTCTATTATTCCTAGTTTCTGCCTTAGAGGAGAAAGAGCTGAGTGCTGAACCAATCTGCAGGCAGTCAAAACCTAGAAGGACTTCTAAGCATGCAATAACTTGAACTGCTAATGCTGCCTCATAGGACTACAGAAATCTCAATCCTCAGCAGATGATAGTATCTTCCTACTTGAGCAACACAAGGGAAAACAAAATGGATTGAAATGCTAAGCATGCAAGAAGAAATAGGAAGAGATAACTAGGGTTTCATCACCTCCATGGAACCTAGACGTATACATTGCTGAATAAGTTTCTGTGGGAAATAAAGTTTAAAAAGTGTCAATTCAAAGCTAAAGCTATTGAAAAAGAAGTCATTTTGTCCATCTGAAGCACAAGTGTGCTTTGCTCATTTTGTATCTCATATAAGATTCATTTCCTTTTATCAAACATTGTTTTGGAGACAACAGCCAGCCATGCTTTCTCCAATTCCAACCAAGCAGAAGCAAAGGACTGCCCACTGGCATTACTGTACTTCACATGCAGCATCCTCGAAGCAGTGACTCAAGACTCATTTCTCAGTGAATGCAGTGAATCCAAGTGCAGCTGAGACTGCAGATACAACAGAGACCTATCAGGTACTAAATGGCACAGATAACCTTTCATGCCAAGTCTATCATTTAAGCCCATGAACAAGAGGTACAGCTGTGCATAACTTTTTACAACAACGATCATCTTTGTACTCTGGAAATCTTCCTGAAGTCTAAACAAGGCATTCTGTTTTAAGAGCTAGCTCTTTTCCATGGATAAAGGTAATCATCACAGCAATACCCACCAGTAAGCACACTAAGACATTATACTACTATATATATGAAATCATATAGCCAAGTTAGCTTGACAAAAATTTGTCATATCATGATACTCTAACAAGGGCCATGCACATTTAATTATTCATGCATTAGTGTCAGAAGCAATAGATTTTAAAGTATTTTCAAATCATGAGTAACGCATCAGCTCAACAACACAAAGAAGCTTTTGGAAGCAGAAAAAAAAGGGTGAGCATGTTGAATGCCATACTCAGCACTATGTAACACAGCAAGAAGACAGACTTGTGTAACACCATACAGGAGTTCTACAGCACAGGACAGCCACTGGATTCAGTCACAATACAATTTCTTTAACAAACCCGAATCTTCAATTCTCCTTCTTCCAGAGGGCAAAATGATTCATGGTAAACTCAAGAATTGAAGAAAAAGCACTTGGCAGTAAAACAGCAACTTTCTCTCATAAGAGAGAGCCTACATGTAAAGAGAACCAAGCATTGATCCTTGAGATATATCAGAGGAAACTGCAGAAAGCATTACAGAGGGAAAGACACCATTATCTTTAATTGTAATCAAACCTCCCAGCTTCTCATTACTCCATGTAAATTTGAGCAAGTACAAGTAGGCAGAATTAAATATTTCCGTTTTAGATGCAGAAGAGGCAGTCACATTGCAACACAACTATTAAGATCTTCCTGTTACAGCAAACAAGTGAAAGGTCCTTGAAACCTCTGGTGTATGTATCCATGTGTACACAAACACACAGATTGACTGGACCTCTTAACTGAAATCAAGCCCAAGAAAAGCTGCAATCACATCTCATCTGATGCATAAACAAGCCTGCCACCTAGTGCACTGCTGCTCAGGTTGATAATATTCACTGCACTGTGGTCAGTATCTAATTCAGCATTTTGGCACATACAAATTGGGCCGAGTTGTTATGTACTCACTGCAGTGACCAGTTGTGGCTGTTTGGCAAACAGCAATGGTCAGAGCTTCCATACAACGTTATCACCATCTCAGTAACCCTCTGCTTGGTGTTTGCTTGCTTTTGTGTCAAAGTTTTCTTAGTGCAATCTTAACACAATGTCAGAAGTCTTAAAAATGAAGTACACAGAACAAAATACAAATAACATAGGTGCCAAAGACCATTAGGGAACTTTTTCATTATACACCCTTACAGGAAGCTTACAAGAGAAGAAAAACAGGAAAAAATCTCACTTTTAAAGCCATAAATCAAGTAACATTTTATTGTTACAGAATGTGCCATCAAAATTTGGAAAAAAAGATCACACTGTGCCAAACAAAACCATGAAGTTTGGTTGTTTTACTTTCTTATCTAGCACCTTTCATTTCCCCAGCTTGCTAAAAAAGCAGCCTTTTCAGATACTCCAGGCAAGAGCATTTCTTGTGAAGTATCTTCTAGCTTATTCATAAAGCCACTTCAAGTATACCTTTGGTTAGTACATTCTTCTCTACTCGAATCTGTTTATAAGGCATGGCTTTGCCAAACCAAATCCATGGAATTTGACACAACTACAGTCAGCAATCCAGCAGCCAGATCAGGATTCTAGAAATGAATAACTGTGCTTTTTGATTCAAGCTCATCTGCTCCAGATTGAAGACTGAGTTGTTACAAAAGCTCTCAAAGGCTTCCACTGGAAAGAGCAAGCCTGAGATATTCAATTCCACTATCAGGAAAATTCCAATTTTGAAACTTAGATTTTCGAAGAACGTTCACTCTTCAGCCAGTACAATACCTATTCTCCCCAAATGCTAGCAAAGAAGAGTCAGTTTATTGTGGAATGAGTATAAGCTACATTTGCATCTCCAAAATAGAAGTTTTATGAGATCAGCATCAGGATAGAAGTGGAAACCATCAGCTACCATCAGACACTGACAGAAGTAACACCAAATGACATTCCTCAAGGATGAACAGGTCACATGCATTTCTTGATCAGCTATAACCATCCAGAAACCCATGAAGAAAAAGACATCTGAAAGCATCATTTCTTTCCCTCAATTACTTAAAATTTAGCTTTACTGTGTTTTTAAATTGCAGTAAACTTACTGAGAGTCAGTCAAGTACACACAATATATATATGTATATTTTTCTTTTTTGACACTGACACATCTTGTAAGTCTTGCAAACGACAGAGCTAGCTTTCAGGAAAAGCGCCTAACAAACGTGTTAAGCAATTAAAAAAGTAATTCAAGTAAAAACCATTGAGATAACTGACTTCAAGAGAAAAGAGTTTATTCAACTAACGCCATATCAGAACAATAAAGCAGCCCTTACATGTAGCCACTCATCAAAAAGGACATTACAAAACATTAACATAATGTAATAGATCATTTTTCTTTCAGGCATTTTCAAAGGACGTATCAGACCCACAAAATCTTCTGTTCTGGTGTGCAAGAAAAAAGCTGAAGAGGAATGAAGCAAGCAGCCAAATACCTCTGCTAGTCAGAGCTTTTTAACAATCAAGGTGACATAAGCAGGATTTAAAAGCCAAGATAGAGCCATTTCTGCAGTACTTCAGCCAGTAGCTACCAGTTTTAGACAGTCTCATCTTATTGCACACATTTTCAGAAAGGGAAATGAAAGGAGCCAGGCCCAACTCTGCCCTCAAATGCTCAGAAAGAATTCTGTACACAGACTGTATGGCCCTTCAGTAAAACAGGTGACGGTACTGCTGAGACCTTATTTACTGTGAAGTAAAATAAGCCTTCAAGTGTCCCTTACTTGATCTTAGCAGGTCAAATTCTCTGTCCAGCAGCTCCTCCTCTGTCAACTTGGAAAAATTGTCCTCTCCAAATGGGTTCCAGCCTGACATATCAGGTGGGTTATTGATGCTCTGCTTTGGGTAACTGGTAATTGCCTCAGCATCAATAATGCCTGACCTGTAAAGTCAGTCCACAGAAAGAAAATAGAAAGGAACATTACAGGATTGTCTATCAGGATAAAAATTGATAATATGCTTTGTTATGTCAAAATACTGCATACAGGTAACACATACGTATTAACAGCTCAACCAGAACATATCTGAAAACTAAAGATAAAGTGAATCGCTAAGAACACGTGGATTGATTGCATTATTTTTGTATGTAACCCTTGTACATTTCAGTAGTTGATTAATCATAGCCAAAGCACAGAAAACTTTGTCAAGACGCAAGATGAAAACCTGTAATTCAGTGTTCATTTCTATACTTACACAGCAGTCTTTTTTTTTTTTTTTTTAAGGAAAAAAACCTAGTAAGTATATTCAAAGTTTAATCTTCTCTTTGCTAAGATACTAGAAAACCTCCAATCAGATGAATTTTCCCTTTTAAGCAAGTTTTGGCAAATTAGCTCTATCACTTCTCTCTCCTTACAAGGATCATTCTTAAGCACTGCCAATTGTTGCTAACTCTTTGGTCACTGACTTATAGCTAAGCAGGGGGATACAGATCTTTAGTCTTGCATAACAAGATGATCACTTACTTTTCAGACTGTAATTATTTCTTTAAAAAATTATTTGTAATAACATCCAGTAACAGACTAGATCAGAGAACAGGTGTTAAGTCTCAGATATGGACACAAACACGCAGAAAAACTTTGCTATGTATTATGCTACCTAATTGGTTCCATGAAGCCAAATCTGTCACATTGATATTCTGTATCAATAAAGCCAGTAGGGGGAAAAATACTTTGCTTTTCATCTTTCATCATACTGTGAAGTAAGTATAAATGACAGCAGCACCTGAAATGTGCAAATCTGAAAAAACACCCGTCAACAAAGGCTGCACCATAGATTGCAGGGATGGAAGAAGTACAAAGAGCTTCTCCTTCAAATGTAGCAATAGCAGTATTTATGAGCTTATGTAGCTAACACTAACTTTGGTCAGAACATCAGTAAAACTATCAGTGAAACTAAAAGGCAATTTTTTTTTTTGTCTTTTTTAAAAATACTGCTTTGCTCTCATTCCACATACTATTTACGGTGAGAATACATGAAGAAGTCATTTTCCACCACACTTTATTAAGAAATGGTGAATGCATGGCCTTCTGCAATCACTGAAATTAAGATACATTCCACTACAGAATACAAGACAGACTACTGGTAATGGATGGAAGAGTTACAATTTTGATCAATTTGGTAGGAGTTCTAAACCCCATCTTAGAACTGTATCCTACAAACTGGATTAAAGAGCAAAAAGTGGTAAAAATTACCATCTGTTGAGTGTCATACTCATTACTTCATTAAGTATGTGCTGCTGACCATTGAAAGCAAGGTGGTTAGCAGTCTGTTTCTTGGAAGAAGTCCATGAACAAGAAAAAAAACATAAGTTCTTTAAAAAGTTTGATTAGGCTCATCTATCCATGGGTTGCATCCTGCCCTCCTCCCCCTCATGCATGCTTAAAATATCCATTACCACTAACTATTTATTAGTTTTAGCAATACTTGACAATTGAAGCAATTAACTTCCTAGGAAAGGATTTGCTCGTGCCTCTTACAGTTATCAAGCAGATAGTAACCTTTGGTACATTTGTGTCAGAATACTTGCCTGTTTGCAGTATAGGGAGAATCTGCCACTGTTCCAGCATGTACTGGAAGTGATGTAGAATAGGAGATTAAGGCTGGCGAGAAGTCTTGTAGAGAAGGGACATATTCAGGAGATTGCACCTGTTGTGACCGTTGCTGTTGCTGAGCAAGCATCTGCTGCTGTATAAGAGCCTGCTGATATTGCTGCACCTAAATAAGAAGTCAGCACATTATTAACATTCAGATGAGTAAACCTGAAGCTCTTATGCTAAGTAACAGCACTGGCCTCACAGACAGATTCATTAAAACAGCCATATACCAGAAAAGATTGGTAGCTTAATCTAAAGCGAGAAAGTCTCTCCAACTTCTGAACACCTCCTGCTATATAGCTTTCTTGTTTTAACTGTAAATATGATATATGTGTAAATTTCCATTACACCGCAGCAGCATCACAAAGGGCATACAAGAATATTTATATTCTTCTGAAACCACTAATAACTAAATGTTGAAAGACTTCTCCATTTTAAGCGAGAACAGCCAAAATGCTCTTCAATGCAGTTTTAAAACCTTAAAAATAAAGTAACTAGCAGAAAATTTCATTTTCTATCATGCATTCCAGTGTGAAACTATACATCGGAAGGATTTCTCTGGGCTAGTTAGGTTTGTAAACACTGTGTATAACCGTGGTTGAATTGCATCATTCAAGAACATTACTTGCTTGTGACAAACAATCTGGGTTCTCCCTTTTTCTTTCTTTCTGAAGTACTGAAATGGTCTACAGGTGCCAACTGTATTTTGTTGGTTTAATGCTACTTGAGACTCAAATTCTGCATGATTTCCTCAGCAAATGCTGCAGAATACAGCTACACACATACACAACAGTGCCTGTCAAAGTAGTTACTGGCTACTTGTACTTAAAATGTTTTAACTAAGTAGACATCCTGGGCTTGAAGTAGAAGTTTGATGCCACTGTGGTTTTATCACTTTGCAGAATAACTTACATTAGCTGTAGTGGTCATTATTGGAAACTTTAAGCATTAAGTATATTTCCAATTAGTACTTTACTGATCAAAGTTTAGATTATATCACACTTAATACTGATATAACAGATAAGCTTTCACAACAGAGTTTGGATGAACTATTTTTTTTTCCTCTCAAGTGAATACAACTTTAGATATTTACCAAGTCCATAGCTCATTATAACTACTCACAAACTTGTGTTGCTGAAACTTCACATCTTACAATCATAGGACATATTTGAAGACTATCAGTGACATTCCACTGTTGACATACCATAGCAGGATACTGAGATTGGGAAGGTTGCTGCTGGTACACAGACTGCATCAACAGTTGCTGCTGGATCACCTGCTGGTGCACTGCTTGTTGATACTGTATTCAAAAAGAAAAAAATAGAAATCTTGAAATCATGATTCCCCCATTTAGCATACACAAATATTTAGACTCAGAGGGTCTACCTACACCAGCTCCTACAAGCATACTACTGTCAGCTAGATCATTCCAAATGTTTCTCTGGAGCATGCTTATACAGACAAAACCTTTATTTGAGTCACGAAGAGCTGACTAAAAGCAAGCAGAAATTCTGGGTCAAGAAACAAAAGTAGAACAGCACAAAGCAAACAGCTTCCTCGTGTAAGTACTGTAATGCCTAGGCAAGAGACAAACGTGCAAAGCTAAAAAGAAGGGGCAAGAACTACAATCCCTCTCCCTCTCTCCTACCATAAAGAAACTAGGTCATATTGTTTAAGTAGCAAATGATTCGAAATACTAACATACACAACATACTGCTCTTTAAGAAACGTATGTTAAATGTGACTTGTACCTGCTGAATGTAAGCCTCCTGAATTGTCGGTTGTTTTTGCTGGTGATGTAAGTGGTGTAACTGCTGTAGTCTCCAGTCCCCCTGCTGCAGCTGCTGGAGAACTCTGTTCTGCTGTGGATGGTGCTGATTGGTCCCTTGAGACAGCAACATTTCTTGGCCATTTCCAGGTCTTGGGGTTCCTGTAATATTAAGACAATACTACTCACATGCCAATTTCTAAACTTCAACTGTCCACTTGCCCTGGCAGTTGGCATTTACTATTTCAAGGCAAACAGCTTATAGTCCCCTTTCAAGTCTGACATCTTGCAAGCTAAGTTTACTGTATATTTCACCTTCTGTGAAGATAACCGCAGGCTTATCAACCCATAGTGTCTACTTACAAGACATGAGAAGCTTCCTTTGCTCTCAATACAGAGGAAGCTGGTTTCAAGAGTTCTGCTTTACTAGCAATTCACTTTTATCTTCAGTGTCGCAAACAACACTCATCTATTCTGACTCAAAACTGGGACATAACATTTTTGTCTATATCCTCATTAAAATAAGGTGACAAATTCATCCTTCAGTAAAAAAATGCGGTGCAGACTGTGCTTTTGGATTTTGCATACTTGGAAGCCAAATAAATAAAATATCTGAAAGCATTCTTAAAAAACATTCTTTTACACGTGTAATTCCTCAGATTGCCATGTTGTGCCATTCAGTTGTTTTTGCAGCCTTTTAATTGAGCAGTTACTAGCATAAATCAATGTGTCTTGCATGGCTACTACTTGCACAGTTAGAGTCACCCAGAAGGGAGAAAGATTTGGGGCTTTTTTTTTTTTTTTTTTTTTTAAACAAAGTAGCATCTACTTAGTTTTAAGTTTCAAAGGTTATCCTTAAAAGATTAAGGAGGAAAAGAAACTTGGAATGATTGTTTCATTTGCTTCATTCAAACCTCAGACATTGGTATGTTACCTTTTTGCCCACGATTACCAAATACACCAGGAACTTGGACTTTGACTGGTGTTGCTGAACTCTGGATCGTCAGAACGCTTGAAGCAGCAGTGCTTGAATTGGCCTTTGGTCTTTGTCGTGGTGCAATTGAGGTTTCTGTTGGTCCAGTAGGATCTGTTATTCTGAAACAATATTTCCATTGACAAGACTTCATTAAAAGTAACTGCTGTGTATTCAAAATAATTGTCATCTCTTTACAGTTCACTTGCACCTATGTTTATACACAGTTTACTTCTGAGCTCAATTCATACACCTCAAGATTTGTTTCCTATGATTCTTTTTACCACAGTCAAAAGAGATATGACTGCTGCAGAAGACTTTCAGAAAGCTCCTTCTAGAAGGAGCTGTGCAACAGCCTGGTTCACCATGAGAATAAAGCACTAGATTAAATTTCTGTGCAAGTTTTCCTTGAATGAAAAATTACCTGGAAAACTCAAAGCAGCCATTCTGCAACTAGAGATATAGTTACTTCTCACATGCACACAGAGTAAGATTTTTCTTAATCTTATGAGTTAATTCATTTCTGCTTCCATAAGAGATTTAACATCTAGCAGTTCTATTACTCACAAGCCTCCCTAAATATTTGTGTCTTTCAGTAGTACGTTAGCACTGTATCATGTCCCTCCCGGATAAGGAAGATATTCAAAAAGGGACTTTGGAGCTTTAATCCCACTGTGTCCAGTCACAGTATTGGTATCTTTAAAAACTGTCTAGCTGCTTAAAAACACAAATTCACCAGCTAAGCTCCAGTACCTAACACTTCATACTAGTTCTTAGCAAATTATATTTAAATGTTTTCTGCCTTAACCTCCGCATCTTACATAGTCAGAAAAACTTAAGTAGGAAAATTAATGACTGTTCTCCAGCAGTGCCTAGCAGGTGAAGTTGAAAACATTATTCCATTAATACTCAAAGCCTTCCCTCAAATATATGTCATCAAGTGACAGTAGAGCCAACAAAACCAAACACTACCTTAAAACAACATAGATATATCTGTACAGCTCGAACACAGCTTAGATGAGCCCAAATGTTAGTTTCTATTTGCAGTAGGCTAATAAAGTCACAGCTGAGCTGATCATTATGGCTAAAAATTTTAGTAATTAAGCCACATATTGGTAGATTCAGAACTAGAACAATTTTCAGTACTAAGGAATATTAGGATCTCAGTTTTTCTTCAGTGGACTCTCAAAACAATTGAAAAAAAAATTGATCTCAGAGACTTGAAGCACTTAGAAACGTAGCTTATCTACTCTAATGAACTATTTGGGTGATTTTTTTAATAAAAAAAGTTTCAGACAAATGTGCAGTTTAATAATACTAAAAAAAAAAAAAAGCCATATCATCTACTCACCTTGCTTTTATTTGGCTTTTTCTAGCAGCTGCCTCACTAGCTGTCATAGGCTCAGGAAGAGTTGAAGGGACAGGAGAATTCTTGGGAAAAAAGAAGTGCAGAAATTAAAAGCACAAGCTCCTGAAAAAATCATTACAAATCCAAAAGAAATAATTGAGTTCAAATCCTTCACGCTGCAAGGCTTCATGCAGAACCTGGTCACAGGGCTGTAGATTGAAAGTGTTTTTACTGAATACTATTTCTATTTTCTGTTACTTATTACAGAAGTACAAAATGAAAGCACTGCTGGCCTGACTCACTACTATGTCAGCTACTTCAGTTAATTCATGCACTACCAACAATGAGGTAACACACTTCCTTCATACGATTTCTGTTAACTGTAGAGAATAAAGATTCATTTTACCTTTGAGTTTAAGGATTAAAACTAAGCTAGAAAACAGAATGAAATAGTCTTTTAGTCTATTCAGCTCTTCCAGTTCAATGCAAAATCCATAAAACAACACAGCATCCACGCTCCTTTACTAATTTCTTACCACAAATCACAACCGAATCATGCGTATATTCACTGTCATAAATGCACACTCATCTTCTAACACTAGCCCTTATTTCTCTAACCAGAGACACTGTCACTAGAAGTCATTAGAAGCCAGTTTACCTCTCTCAGCTCTCATACTGTGTTTGAATTACATGAAATTTATTGCCCACAACACTAACTGGACATAACCCCACCTCAGAGACAGTAAGCACGCACTAAGATGCAGGGCTCAACAACAGTAAGCTTGTCTTCAATGTTCTACCTTCTCCCTTGCTCTTCAACACGAGCAAGGTCAAGTTTGCCTCTTCCACTATCAGTGCTCAAGGAAAATACTGGCACATAAAGGAATCAGAAGCCCCTTCCTTGCTTGCACCAGCTGTCATCATTGTATTACAAGGCTTCAAGTTTTCATCCATTCAGTTCTTGTAAAGCCAAACCTTATCCTGGTCTACTAGCAGCACTGAACAGGGGAAAGGTCAGACTACTCCATTTTACAAAACCTTCAGGATCAGCAATGAGGGCACCCCTCTAAGCATTCCATTGGCTAAAGGGATGGAATAGATGTGATCAGGCTCTGCTCTCCTCAAAACAGTCACTCCCTAATTTTCATGCTATATCTGAGCCAGTTTTAACACAGTTCTTGCCCTTTGCAGAAGTAACTACTCCTCTTCAAATTATCCTTTTGCAGTTCTCATCTGCCACTTCAAAGCTTAAAGAACCTCTCAATATAATTTCTGCATTTAATCAAGGAAAATGGCAATTATGGGGGAAAGAGAGAGAGAAAAGATGACCTCATGTAAGCATAATCTTTACACACACTAAAGAAAGCAAATCTAATCCTGGTCACAAACATTTATAACCTAAGGTTATCAATTTTTTCTTCCTTTTTCCTTAGGAAAAGGAATCCAATAAGCAGATATAGCCAAGTCACTTGAACAAGTTGATAGTACTCGTACAGCCTGCAACCTAGTAAATACTCAGTGGTATGTTTTACCACTTAAAATATACCAGTGGTATATTTTAATATAAAAGAGATACACCACCTAACAACATATTTTGAAATAGCAAAAATACAAAAGCCTTCAAAACACTTGAAATTTTGCCTTTCACTACAAAATGGGATCCAGTTTTTTTCTTCTTTTCCTTAGTATGCTTAGCATGCTAACCTATGCCAAGTTTCCCAAAAATAACATTCACTCTTTAATGAGTACCTTCTTCTATGGGACCAAGGATCAACAGTAATACATTTCAAAGGGATCTTGGTAAATTCACTCATCTACCTCTGAAAGCACAGTTTACTTTAGATAACATTTGTTTCAAAAGTAATTTTGCCACTGACTTTTTCTAATGCCTTAATGCCTATCTTGGGAATCCCCTTATAATGCTGAACATTATTGATGTGTCCTGGAATTTTCTGACATAGCAGCTTGGTCAATGAATTAGGTCATCTTTGAGGGAAGGTTCAGAACTTTAAAGAGAGTTCAGCCTCTCATGCAAAGCAAAGGCACAAAAGTCAGCTAACTAACTTACTATTTCAATTTACTTTCAGTTCATTGCAGTCCTTTCCCAGCATATTGCTATAATTGACAGAGATGATTAAAAAGAAAAAAATACTTTATCTAGAGAACACTCCTGACACTTCACACTAGTAAGATAAAGTTTTCTACATGTGAAGTTCTACAGTACTTGGTATTAATTATACTAGATGTAAGAGACATGTATGGATTAGAAGCACAAGTCAGGTATTGACTGGTGTCATATAAATGCCCTTTTTGAAGTTATGCCCCCAAAACGCAAGTGTTTTATTTAGACAGTAAACAGAATCAATAGGAAATGTATTTTGCTTCACATTCTAAACTTTGGAACAAGGCTTAAGAAATTGAAAACTTTTTTCTCAGCTGAGTTGATTGACTTTTATCAATGCTACCTATGAAAACCCCTGAAAGCACAGTAAAAAAAAAAATAAAAGACTACTTACATTAATATTGGACACTGGACAATCCTTTTTGGCAAGTTTAAAGGCAAAGTAAGATACCTGAAAAATATCAGGTCTCTGTTCTTGATCTGGTTCAAGCATATATCCTGTGAAAATTGATAAGATCAAATTGTGACTGACAGCAGAAAGCCTACTGATGCAGTGTGCTAGCAACAAGAACACATTCATTCAATTAACTTCACCAACAAGGCTTACTCCAAAAAAGAATGATTACGTTCTTTTTTAATGCTTTTTGTAAAGTCAAATAGTTTCCAGGGTCAAATATGATTGACAAGGATGCATGCTGCTTTTATGTTTTGAATATCAGCTGCAGAAAGAATAGATAACAGAAGTACTAACTTCAAATAAACGACAATAACATGAATAGCATTAGAATTCTCTAGGGTTACGCAAGATCCCTATGCCAGTATGCCCCATCTATCCAAGTCACTCATCTACAACAACAGCATTGTTTGCGTTTCATTTTATTTACAAGGCCTGAGAATTGCTGTGCTGCCCAATACTCACTTATCAAACAGTGTATACTGTGAGTGTATCGGGAATTGTCCGGAATAGTAAAACTTCCATCGCAAATAGCAACTTGACTTTCTCCAAAGGGAAGTGAAAAGAAACAAAGCTTATACAGCAAACAGCCAAGTGCCTGTAAAAACAAATACAGGCCCCATAAAAGGATGAGAGCACATAAAAGGATGTGATTCTTTACACAATAAAGAAGCACCAATAAGAAACTAATTGCATCCTAGCTACAGCTGATGCTTACAGTGTTACGTAGCAGCTGCATTATGAACTAGGGTTGATGTGACAAGCTGATATACAATGCAGCTCTAAAAAGGCCTTCTTTCCCACTGACTTGTGTGTTAGACAACAAGCTACCAAATCTAGAGCCTAACCTAAGAGCTACATTCACATTCTGGCATCGCTCAGGGATACCACTAGTGTCTTTGCTGAATTTAGTCTTCATTTACTTCGCTGTAATGGCTCTTTAAGCACACTGTCTAACAAAAACACATTTCCTTGTTGTGCTGTGAGCAAATTTCTACGAGAAATCATTGGTGACATTCAGGCAGCAATCTGAGCCAACAAAATGGAAAGAGTCTATTTTATCTTTCCCTTAACAGGCTCATCACATATTGTATTCTATTTATTTACATGAGACTTAACTACCACAGATACCATTACTATACTCTGAATTATATACTTGCATTGTATATTACCACATTAAATAATTAGTTTTTCAGTTGGTCTACATTACTTCTAGCTAGCTTCTTTATCTCTTAATTAGTTCCATATTTCACAGTACCTGATTTTTTGCTTACCCAAATATCTGCCTTGGTAGTAATTGATTTCCCTCCATAAAGATTGATCATTTCAGGAGCTCTGTACGATAGTGTTGTATACCTAAACACACATAATTGCAGGAGAACAGATGAAAAGCATGCCTCAGAATCAAAAGAGCCTTTTCTTGCATCTGCCACACACATACCATTCACAGAAACAGGTGCCTAATACACACCAGAAACTGTCTTACGCAAGTAATTTACTGTGTTTACAAAATCACAGAAGACTTGGAATAGTAACATAACATTTACTGTCCTGGATGACAATTTAAAGTCAGATAAAATGTGCTCTTCACATTAGCTCCCCTGTACTGTGCTTCAGTAACAAAGAGTTGCCCTGCTGTAACACTGCAGTAAGCAGTTACCGCAAAGATTCTGAGCCCTAAAAGGGTCATCTTCATCTTACACTGAAACATGCAGTACGGAGTATGATCATCACATACAGTACTCCCATCATATGGGATATTATATGATTCTATGCTTTAAAAAACAAAAAAGTTTGACAAAATCATTGCAAAACCAGCAAAGTACTCTGTAGAGACAGAAAAACACATACATGTATCATTTGGTCACTTGAGAACAAGTAATCTGTGTTTATTTCTCTGCAGCAGATGGCCTGAAGTGAACCAAACTAAACATGTTCTCAGGAGTGTGTTTGCAATAAAGTTAGAACAATTTTGTGACCAGTCTTAGGAGGAAGGACACAGCATTCTATAACTAAGACTGTAAGTAAGTTCATTCGAATGCTAATTTATAGCACCTCTTTTCTCCCTCAGACTTTCATAGCTAGCCATATTAACACAGAAGTTAAAATTTAACTCCTAAAATAGCCAGCAGCCAGGCATACATTTATCACCCATTTCATTTCAAAGTCACACGCTTTTTCAAGTTTTATTCTATGTGAGTCTGTTTTGCAAAAATAGCATGTAAATAAATAGAAAAAGCAACATTAATAGACTGTAAAAAAATGGAACTATATTCACATCAACTTGAATTTCTTCACCTTGAACAGTTACACTAAAATCCTTAACAGTAAGGTAAGCATACACTACTCAGAGGTCTTCATCTAGTACATCGTAACGCTCAGCTGTCTCACAGCACAACCACTGGTTATTGAGGCCACTTAAATGTGAACTTACTTTTTAATTTCTTCTTCAACCACATTAACACCATCTTTTTGAGGATTAAGGAATTTGTTTGTAGCACTGCCAAAATCACAGAGAACATAATTTCCACTGTCATTTAGCAATATATTCTCCACCTTGAAAGGAAGTTAACACAAACAGCAATATTAGATTAAAATAATGGCACTGATTTCCAATGTAAATGTTACTATGCATTCTTGCCCTCACACGCAAATGAGGAAGTTATCACAGCATTACAGTGCTTCTCTAACTACAGGTCAGCCTTAGTGAAATAGCTCCTGCACTTCCAATCATTTTTGAGTGCACCACTGACTTTTACTCAGGTGTTTCTAGGTTTCAGGTTCATACCTTTAAATCTCGGTGAACTATAGGAGTTTTGCACTGATGCAGCCGAGCAACAGCTTCACAGGTATCACAAAATATTCTCATTACTTCTGACTCTGTAAAGCCTGTCTGCAGGCGCTGATTCATCTGATTCACAACTTGCCCAGCTGAAGAAGCAGAAAAGAATTTTATTTTGCCTTCTAGTAATTCTCATTATGTATAGAAGTATAAATTTTTTCTCACACACAAATAGCCCACAACATGCAATTTAACTTTCTCATGTCACCAATTAAAAACAAAAACAAAAACAACAAAAACCAAGCCATCTAAGCTGTTTCCAAACTTCCACTGGTTTAATCCTAAGCAGAAAGGTTACTGTCTCAAACAAAAACATCGCCAACTGAAACTCTTCTATCAAAGAGGCAGGCAGGAAGAATCATCCATCACGCAAACATGCTCCCCCAGAAGTGCCTCCTGCATTTAGAACCACAGCCAAAATGCTGTCAGCCAACAGAGTTCAAAGTAACTCATAATCTAGACATTTCTTTCTTAGAGACTAAGAAAAAAAAAAAGGGCATAATCCACTCTTAAAGACCTTACATAACCCTTTCACAGTTTCCTTTTTAAGATCAGGAAGTATTATTTCCCTATTTCTTGAAGTTATTTCACAAGGTCATACTTTTATCTTCCTATCATAATGCTCACAGATCTATGGGGTCTTGGAGAGTGCCTCTCCTAAACACAGAAGCTTTCAACAAGAGAACACCATCCAGTCATCTGATGGTTTACACTCTTGTGGCTTCAAAATAATATCGGTAAAACTCAAATCTAGAAGCAAAGTGTAGAAGTGAGTCTGAACAAAAGCTCCACATGCCAATAAGCTATCCATAACACCAAGTTCAGAATAACCCAGTTAGTTGTGTAAGCTGAACACCAAGGAACCAGCTCCCATGAACTAAAGTAGTAGAGGTATTTTTCCAGTATTTACTATTGTAAGTAAGAAAAGAGAACTGCTGATACAGTCTCAAGAACTCCCATACAGAGGGCAGAAACATTCACTCTGACAACTCACAGACAAGTTTATTCTAGTAGGTATGTGTGGCGGGGAGTTAGGGAAGTCAGTTACAATATGGTTTCACAAATTGTTTGAAATAGCTACATTATGAAACCGGACACACAGCTGTTATTTTCATGCCCAGAATCACAAATACTAATTATATTATGCTCACTTAAAACAAGTCACCCGTCTTAAATTAAAGAAATTAATTTCTTTAATTTAAATTAAAATTTAAAATTAAAGAATCTTTGCTATAATGATCAAAAACAAAAAACAGGAGAGGCAGAGCAGTTGCCAAAAGTATTTTGATATGAAAGGTTGGAAAACATTAGCTATATGTTTAATCAAACAGTAGAGCAGAACCATTTTAATTTCTACTTGAAGTAATTTCCCTACTCCTAAATTATACTTAACTAAGCTACATGAAATTGACATCTGCATTTTCTCAGGCTTCAGAAACTTAATGCCTAACTACCAACACAAGCTAAAACAAATGGATTCCAGCTTTGAGATAGACAGGCTTTCTGAATTAAAGGGACTCTACCAGGTAAAAATCCCAGGTGATCAAAACATACATTTCCATTCCATTTCCTCTGGAACCAGAAGAGCCATCTCTTACCTCGACAATACTCCATGAGAATGAGGACCTCCCAGACGTTGTCACTTACACTGTTAACAGCACAATCCAAATAGCTTACAATATTCTTGTGCCCAGATAACTCTTTCTGAAAAAGAAAATACACATTACATTTTAGCATAGAAAGATTTTAACAAATAAGTACAAGTGGTTTTCATTAAAACCACTTATGACTTCAAAGTGAGCCCTGGTCCCATACGCACTAAACTTTACAAAATACTCAAAACTGAAGGCAAGTTCATCACTGACTGCAAAGTCAAAGACTGCCATATACCAAACTCAACACATCTACAATTCAATCAAGAACATTTATGGTATTTGTTCAATAGTGCAAACATCCTCACTACTGCATTCAGAAACATTATTATGTAGTAATAATACATACAATAGTCTTGATACATAGGGGAGAGAGAGGGAAAAATCATGCTACTCATGTCCATTTTAAGGGAAATTCCCAATCTCAATACTAAAAATGAAGAAATACCTATGCTGAAGAATACTGTCTCGATAATAACAAAAACCCCACAACCATACACAGCTGGAAGCAAGTCACAACATTTACACCCTGAACTACTATCAAGTTAAAAACAAGCAAAGACGTCCCTAAGAAAAAAAGACAACAACAAAATCCACACCAACTTTTAAGAGCCATTTTGCAAGTTGCAATTAAGCAAATTCATATTTCACGTCTGACAATACCGGTGTTGTCTGCAGTGCTGTTTCCACCCATTTATAGTTAACATAAAAGAACTGCTTATAATAGATGATTAAGCAGGTGCTTCTATGATTATAACATATTTAAACTAGAAGCATATGGAAACGGAGATAAATTACCTTCACAGTATCTACTAGAAGGCAATATAACTGATTTTCTCGTGCCCTGACATCATAAACCCAAGCACATGCAACAAAGCCTTCTGCTTTCTCAATTTCCTAGTCAGCAGCTTAGAAACAATAGAACCTGTGATTATGTCATTGAGTTCAAAGTTCTGAGCTACACCCATATCTGTTACCTTCATATTGGATAGCAACTGCAAGAACGTGCTTCTGCCTAGCAGAGGTAACACTGCTTGTGTAAGAACAGGCAGTTAACAGAACTGTGGCCAGCAGAGGGCTCTAGAACTCGTTATCACTAAAGAAATGGAAAAGACCTTTCTTTTTTTTATTTGGGAAGCAAAATTACTGATCAAATTATTGACTGCAAAATCACATTTTCCTTATAATTGCTTTAGAAATTAATCACACACTAACTCTACGCTCAGTTTGAGCTTATGTAAGGCACTACTGCACAAAAAAGTGAAAAGATGGTCAAGAAGGGATTGTCATTAGAAGACATTTGATACATGCATACTATAAACAAACACATTCTCTCGTTACAATTAATTCATTTCTTACCATAATAGTAATTTCTCTCTTGCATACGTTGAGATCTGGGACATTATTAACATACATTCGTTTGAGTGCACAACGTATCCCACCATGGGTACGTACCAGAAACACAGTTGAGAAGCCACCTGGAAAAAAAAAAAACACGACAATTACAAGGCAATGAAGCTATCTGAGTTATTCTCTTTTTCTAAGACAATGAAAAAGGAAGTGTGCGCCAGTCATGGAGTGAGAAGTTAAAAACACAGACAAAATTACTAAGGTTTGACATCTGAGTCCATTTCTCCTGCATTAAGCATTCTTGACAAAAGCATAAGGATCTTGGAATTATGCTGCAGCATTAAATAAAAATATCTGCAAAGCACTTCCATATTCAAATAAATGCAGAAGCTAGTATGAACTCTATGCATTCAGGTATCAAACCCACGATGTTTTCAGTCACCCAAAAACCTGAATAAAGCAAAGATATCCTCCCTATCTTCACAGTTTCTAAATCCTCCAGAACTTGAAGTTTAGCATTCATTTCTTATACCTACATTTTAAAGTATAAAAAATAAAATAGTAAGATGTACAATAAGTAACTGAATATCTTTCATGACGTTTACGTCACCCATCTCAGCACAGACTGAAGATGAGAAGATTCACCCTGAAATCACTTTGCTACAAGCAAAGTAGGGCTTTTTTAATTATTAAATTATTTAAATACTTGTTAAATGTGCAGATAAGAATTAAGTGTGTTCCCCCAACCAGTACAATCAGGAGCCATCTTCTCCGTTCAACCACATGAACCACAAGGCATACACTTAAGCCCACCTCCAAGCTTCTCATTATCACTTTTCTTCTCCCTGTTTACTGGTAGAAACATGCAAACAGTAATTACTCACTAAAGCTGAGTGATACAGTCTACTCAGAAAACACTCCTAAATGTTCAGGCAGCAAGCCAAGGGGAAAAAAAATTTAAAACCCATATTCTTCTATCTGTTTTCAGTTCATCTGAACTACTGGTCAAGACTTCCAGCACACTGCATTCACATCACTTGGAGGTTCACAAAGAGCTTTCCCACAGCTTAAAGAACCCTGCCCCAGGGCAGTCCATGCTTTCCTTATTTAACTGCTGTTTGATGGTAAGCCAACTATTGCCATACCAACTTAACTCACGCAAAAACTAAGCTATACAATCAGGACAGAAATACGTGAAGTAAAGGATTTACTCTGATAATCAGGTAGCCCACTGGAATGCATGAAGTACTTCAAGTTTCACAATATAATCTGCAACCAGCAGATTATTGCAACGTGCCTCATCTGATACAGGCCTCAAGCACTTGAACTGATGTGCACGTTAGAATTTACAGTTGAAGGAAGTTGTGTTAGGATGCTTTCTTTAGGAAAAAACACTTGAAAATTAATTGCATCATCCATCATAGCAGGGATATCACAACGTCAAAAGAGAGTTGGTGCCAGTTTCAACACAGCAACCTAAATTCTACAAACTTGCTACACTTCAGCTAGAGCCAATTTACACAGGGTACTCCCAGCACACTGACAGGTGCCCTTGAGTTACTCCAGTTTTAAAAGCCAGACCCTGATGGGGCTGAAGCAATTCCACAGGGAATGCCATCAGCTTTGAGGATAAAATAATGTGGCAATGCATACTGTGCATACTGGAAGATTTTAGCAGCATCCTCTCAAAAAAGACTCCTACATAAAGCACAAATACTTGAGCAACAATATAAAAAAATATAAAGCACAACATTCAACTCCTACATAAAGCAGAACATTCTAACTATTGGAAGACAATCACTTCTTGCCTTTTAACCAGCTTTACAGCCTTTTAAAATCAGTTTCGTAGTCTTAATATTGTGTCTAGCAGCAGGACAAGGCCAAAATGCTGAATTTCAAATTTCTTTGGCACCTGCTTTCATGCAACCAGATCAGTCACAACTGGGTAAAAAGAGTAGTGAAAAAGTCTCATACAAGGGTTCTTCTTGCCATTAGGTGGCAATATTAACTAATACTTAAACTCTGAAGCAGCCACAAAAGCAGAACTATTCCCCATTCTGCAAAGGAGTAAGGTGTGACCTTGAAAGGTTTTCCATTAAGTAAATGCTATCTCCACTATAAAATGCCACTGGGCTCTTTGATAAACAGATCAACCCTGAACAAAGCTTGAATAGGTTTATAAATATTTATAGGATATTTGTCATCAACATTGTAGCAACCTTTACCAAACCCAACCCTGAAGCATTAAGCTTTCAATCTTTTCAATAGTTTCTTGTTAAACTTGTCACCAAAAGCAAACGGCAGTGCTATAAAAACTTCAAATAAACTGTCATTAAACTACGTTATTTGGAGAAGTCAGATAGGCACCCTTGTCAAAAGTTGTATGGAAACAACCAAAATGATGAGCAGTTGCTTTGCCCCAAGGCCCACAAACGGAGGCTGAGCAGAGCTACATTTCCATGTGTAGGTCAGCTCAGCAGCTGGCATTTCATCAGCATTTTTAGAAGCTGGAAAAAGAAGGTACTGTTTAATGTCAATGAAGACAGAGAATGAACTCAGTTTCTCATAACACAACATATCAAAAAAATAAATCACAAAACTAAATTCAGTTGTTTACCCACTGTAAGACCAGTCAAGTCCCAAGCCCCCCATGGATTCCTCCCATTCTCCTCACAGATGAGAAGTACCACCACGTGCCACGACTGGTCTCAAGGCAGGTGTGCAGGAACTAGTTGACTAGCACAAATTCTTCACCAACTAGGCAACCAGCAACAGCTTGGCCTTTGCATCAAAAGGAGACAATTTTGAGTCTTCTCATTTCTTCAAGAGCAGCAAAGTTTCCAGTATCTCTGTTTAAATATTGACCAAAATAACACAATGACCAAATACAACAACCTAGCAAACTGAGTATGTGCTCAAACAGCCTCAAAGTTTGGTAATACAATTATACACACATCACCACTCTTAGCCTTTACAGTATTTTACTGTGGCAAGCCATTTGGTTTACTTATCAGTAAATCATCTCAGATAGCATTATCTATTTCTGGTGATCTTATTAAGAAAATTATCAAACATTGAAAACAACTAAAAAAAAAAAAAAAACAATTCTCAGATAACATTTTCTGGTTGAGAGTTTCTTTTTTTCCATGCATATTTTAAGCTTCATTGGTCTCAATTTTCTACTTATGTTTCACCTTGCCACATTCTTGATACTTCAACAAGGAAACTGTAGCTGTAGGAAACTGTCAAAATCAAAGTATCTTCCTTTGCTTGCTTTGATATAGTAAGGTTGAAGAATCTTCCACAATTATGTTGTATATTATTATAATATATAATTATAATCTTTCAGACTGCTAACAGTTCCAAGAAGACAAACTAAAAGAATACCAAGAAAAACATTCCAAACAAATCTTTGTTCGTTTTAGATATACAGACAACAAGACTGAAAAAAGACATATTTTTTTCTTACTGTTCTGTTAAAACATATCCGACCACCAAGTGTTGTACCTGCATCTGGTTCACTATCACGCAACATACTTCAAATCTCAGGCAATTGGAACAGAAGGTCACCAGCAGAAGGAGAGCATACACATTGTAATGGGCAGTAATCACACCTAACACCTGTGAATGTTGAACCATGAATGGTAGAACCAGACACAGTTCCAGAGCCAGCTGTCTAGTTCAGACATGAAGTTGTTCCCAAAGAAGCTGAAAGAACTGAAGGATAGTTCATTTCTATTCTGAAGCAAGATCCGCTCTCAGCCTTGCATGACACTGGCCTACAAGATGGCTATGTGCCCTTCTATCTACAAGGCTGGATCAACAGGCTGAAGTGCAAGTGATTTTCCCCGTGACCCATCCCCAAACACATGTAAGCTCTTTTCTCTGTAGCAAAATGGCATACCAGACACAGGTCAATATGCTTAAAAATACCCACACAGGTTTTTTCTGAATTTCAGATAATCTAACATACAACACAAAAGTAATTTAATGATTTAGGTGCACTGATTTGTGTTGTGAATCAACAACTTCTACCTTAAGCACTATTTTCACCATCTCACCCAATCACTTTGTGTACATTTGTGCTCTCTAATTCAGGAGCCCCTGGTCACTTAGATGTCACCAGTCCCTACCGAAATCAGGCTGACCAGCAGCTAGAGATGCCCTCTTTCCCAACTTACGCACCTTCTAGTACTGCATAGCCTTCTCAGCACTGTAATTTGGAAGCCATACGTAAAAGAAAGAAACATTTCAGGGGCTAGAACCTGCTCAAAATATGGGATAAGTGCAGCCCCCCTCCCAGGTGGCAGTATGAATGCCCTTCAGGTAGGCTCTAAGCAAGAAACTTCCCTGCAAGCCCATAACAAACAGCAGCAATAAGGACTCACTAAATGCACTGAGCACTTGCTGTGTTAGCAAAAAACATCCTTCACTGGAAAAACTACAACTAAAACTAACAACAACCCTGACCTCTATAACCTCCTGAGCTGCAGCAAAGACAGCCTCCAAAAAAAAAAAAAAAAAAAAGACACAAAACACAAAGAAAACATAATTGCTTCTCCACAAAGAACCACGACATCATGAGAAGCCAGCTCTCATTGCCCACGTGCACATCTCACTGCATACATGCACATATAGAGCAGTGGGAAGGTCCTTTTTCAGTAAGCATTAAGCAGCATCTAGATGTATTATTTTACCAAAAACTGAAGAAACCCTATCTTGCCATAAATCATCCAATATCAAGTCTTTCCTTGGTGCTCAGTTTTGATTACATCTTTTCACAGTGTTCAAGACAAGCATAGCACATTCTAGGAGTTCAGAGAGTACCTCTGTGATCGTGACACCCAAAGGCCTCTTCTCCATCCTGCTGAATTTCTGCTCTCCCTGTGCTCTGTGGCAACATGCATTCACTGGCATCCTGTTGGGATAACTACAGTATCAATATCCTGTCAGTATCAGGAACTGCTTCATCCCTGCAGTGAGGGAAGTTCTGCGGGATTACTCCCTTTGGATATCAGTATAGACATAGTCGTGCAGGTACTCTTGCGGGAGTAGTAGACTGAAAGCAAACAAAACAGTACTTCTGTTCACATAGAGAACACTATTTAGTTCTTTAAGATAATAAAAT